AAGTCCATGTTTGCTATGGGAAATTCCAAATATGGGTTTCATCAAAATGTGAAACAAAAGGTGCACGATAGCCTTGCGTACAAAAAATTCTTTGAAGGCCCCTTTAGATATTAAGGGTTTAGGAGAAGTCAATCCTCAAGCTATTAAGTAATAGATGTTTTTGTTGTTAAGATATTATACCTTCCTCTATTTCAAATTTGTAAACCTATGTTATTACAAAAAAAAAACAAAAACAAAAAAAAACAACAACAAAAAAAAAACAATTCAAGTTCTGATTAAAAATTACAAAAGCTAAATGTTGATGTATTGTAGATACAAGAAAGTGAGTTTCTATTGGTGATTCATAAATAAAAACAAACATGCTGATACAGCACTACTTATGTTATAGGAATGTTTCTTTGATGTACCTAGTGCCTTCAATAACAAAAAAATGAAGAGAAATTTACCTCACATGACCTCATGAAAAATGTATAATAAATTATCTTTTTTTGTTTGAAGTATATCATGAGGTTCCGTATTCTCTGAAATTAAACAGGAAATTCCAACCTTTTCTTGCTTTGAAGTTTTTAAAAAGTTAATGGCAATTAAGGAAGTGAGTATAAGAGAAACTGCTTTCCTTTGTTTTTTTATCAACAAAGCACATTTAACACAATGTCTGGATAACTAATGTTCACTGACATGAATTTCTAAATTTATGTATAACTGGTAGGATGCAGCTCTTGTATGTAGAATGAATTTCTGAAAAAAAAAACTCATTCAAAAAGTAAAATTGTACTTTAAGCATTTGAATTATTGAAAATTGTCTGAGAAATTTCGCAGCAATATGTTAAGCTCTATTTTCCTCAGCTCTAATAAGTTTCAGAATGAAGGATGCATATATTTCCTGAATTGCCAAAATGATCAGCAGTTTGATCACAGAGAAATATACATTTTTATAAAATTGAGAGGGAAAAAACAAATAAATCAATGAAGCCATTGTTCATAAATGAAATTTCCATAACAATTATCAGTACATATATTGAACATAAAAAATAATCACTTTCATTCTTATGAAATCTTGAATATATCCACCAATATATGTATACTTATTATAAACTTATGGCACTAGTAACTAAATATTATCTTCCATTTTTATTCACTATTTTATTATTGAATTTGATAACTAGAAATGCTACTTTTAAATAACTACGTAGTTTGACTTTGTTGGTTAACTGTCAAATGGAGGCAGACCAAACATCTCGGGCTTGAATTCCTCTAGTGAGTCTAGCACCAGTGTAGCCATGTGTCTGTGTGTCTGTAGGTCTAATCCTCTGTGGGGTAACCACACACACTGCATCCCTGCTGCATGGGCTGCCTCCACACCATTAGGAGCATCCTCAAACACCAGCACCTAAGTAAACAAAAAGGAGCATCCTCAAACACCAAGACTTAAGTAAACAAAAAGGAGCATCCTCAAACACCAGCACCTAAGTAAACATAAAGGAGCATCCTCAAACACCAGCACCTAAGTAAACAAAAAGGAGCATCCTCAAACACCAAGACTTAAGTAAACATAAATGAGCATCCTGAAACACCAGCACCTAAGTAAAAATAAAGGAGCATACTCTAACACCAAGACCTAAGTAAACAAAAAAGAGCATCCTCAAACACCAAGACCTAAGTAACAAGAGATGTTTGTGAAATACTTATACCCCCCCCCCCCCCTCCCCAGAATAAGAAATTAAAGAGATTCTACTTTAAGAATGCAACATAAGAGAACCAAGTATATGCCCTCTCACATAAACTGACCACAATTTTTTTTCAGACTTTCTTTACACCATTATGAAATCATTATATTTTAAAGGATATCCTAACCTTACTGGGGTCGGGATTGTCAGGAAATCTTTTGGCAGCCAGTAAGAAGCAGTCTGGTGCTGGCTTGCCATGTTTACATTCGGGGTCATCTCCACTCAGAACACAGTGATGAAACAAAGAAAATAAATCTTTGTGATTGGATGTTTTCAGTTCAAAGCTATGTGTATGAGAACCAGTGGCAGTGGCAATAGGGACTCCATGTTTGTGTAAATGTCGGACTAGTCGTTCGGCTCCTGTAAAGAAATATATTAACATCAGTTGTTTTTTTATAATTATTGTGTTTTTAAAAGTTTGGTTGGAGCGAGTGTCAAAAAATAGCTTTTTAATTATATACAGTGAATCCTCAGATATCCGGACACCAGATATCCGAATGCTTCAGTATCCGGATGATTTTTCATTGGAATGAAATTTTTAAATGTAATTTTGTCTTGTTTAACTCGTGATTCAGATATCCGGATGCTTAACATATCCGGACAAATTGACTGGGAACCAGTGTCCGGATAAATGAGGGTCCACTGTACAAATAATATTTCGCAAATGTATTGAGGGATGAGGATAGAGTGAAGATTAGGTTATGATATACTCCTAGCTTTGACATAAGCAATTTGGTTAAAGCTGTAGGAGCAAGTCTTTTCCCGGAGTAAGTATAAGCCCTATCTGGACCTAGTAGGGAGTGAATTCCCCAAGGTTGGATCTGACCTCCATTTTCTATATGAGTTAATTTTCTAAAGCAGGTGCATTCTTAAGTAATCAGACTTGCTTTGACATTGATTTGGAGAATCCAGATTAACTGGAAATTAGTGTGAGATTTGCCTTACTTGTAGAAAACTTTCCGCAAGATGCCTTGTGATTTGTATGAAGTTGCCACAATAAGATAAATCTACTTCAATTTCTAAATTCAATGCAAACATTTGTTTATCACTGATTTTTTTTTTACAAAGAGACCAATACCTTACCTGGTAGTGCTTCAACAGAGGGAAACAATTTCTCTTGTTGTTGGTGGGCCATTTGTAGATATTGATCCACAGTCAGGGGTAAATCTAGGGCCTCTATAAAGCAAAAACATTGTTAGTTAAAGGACTGTCTTTTTATTTCATCTCCTTTTCTCATTAGAATATCAAGAAATAATCCATTTCCAATGGAAGTTAAGAAATTAAAAAAAATTCTTGAAGCAAAAATCTTACAAAGAATTGTAAGCTTTAGAAATCTTAACATTTATAATCATGTGACTTGCCTATAACAATGGCTGCTGATTCTGGCTCCTTCCTGCCCATCTGCTTGACTTTAAGGTCCATTGTAAATTTCTTCCCATACTGACCCACAATCCCTTCTACAATGTCAGTATACAAATGTTCTGTGTCTGGAAAAAAAAGATACACTGTAATGAATGGACTGTACATCTGAATATAAAAAAAATCCCACTTTAATACCTGAGGTTGATATAGGTTAAAAAAAATCAGTTGTTGAAAATACTCTGTGTCTGCATTTTTTTTTATTGTAGAAAAATTCTCAAGTAGGCTTGGACTTTCAGAATTAATAAGGCAAGACATGCTTTCCACACCCTCAGACAAATCTGAAATTCTAAAGCTCTTTCTATCAACAGCAAAATCAGGATTTTTAACACAAATGTGAAAGCAGTTCTCTTGTATGGTTCCAAGACCTGGAAAGTTACTAAAACAATAAACAGCTGATTACAGTCTTTTATCATCAAAAGTCTCCTCCATATCCTTAACATCAGATGGCCTGACACCATATTAAACAACATTTCTATGGGAGAGAACAAACCAAAATCTTATAGATATTGTCATCAAGAAGAGAAAATGGGATAGATAGGACAAACCTTATGCAAGCCCTCAAACAACACCACTAAATAAGCTCTGCATTGGAATCCACAAGGAAAGAGGAGGGTTGGGAGACCAAGGCAAACCTGAAAGAGATCTATAGAAATGGAAGCAAAAGCAGCTGAATTTACCTGGACCCAACTGAAAAGGATAGCCCAAAACAGAGTCTGATGTGGTTGCGGCCCTATGCTCCCCAAGGAGTGAACAGGAATAAGTCAAAGTAAGTTGGACTTTCAGTAAGGCGTGGCATTCTCGGTGCTACATAATTAGGGTCTGTCAAATGGCTAATAGATTCTCATTAGTTAAGAAATTATAACATCAGGAACTTTAAATTGATGTTGACAACAATGAGATGACTTAAGCCCACCTCTTTGCCGGACGAGACAAAGTTATTGGGCATTTGCCCCAATTTTCTATCCCATGTGTATTTCAACAGTGAATGAAAACTGTGTAAATTTCAGATGCTAATTATGTAACGTCGAAAATGCCACGCCTTACTGAAAGTCCAAGCTTACCTGAGAATTGTCCTAAGATGCTAGAGTATGAGCTTTTAAAAAACAGTTCAACTGTTTTATCCTGACCAATCCAAATCAAATATAAATTCAAAAATTTTTTTTTGTTGATGTTTGGCAGAATGTGGAAGTAATAGAAGAGGACAAAATTCAAACCCCATCCATGCCCCTGAATCTCCAGTCAGGTGATTTCCAAACTGAGTTATCTGGCCATCTGCAATAGAACCCCAAAGACCACCACATTCCTTGATCTTTAAAGGCCCTAACAGTTTCCGCCCCTGAACCCAAGCTCTTTCCAGGCACTGCCAGGTCTTTTACCTGTGACATATCCTGGTCAGGGCACCAAAGGTCTCAAGAGAGGAGAAAATATAATGGACAACACCAGATTTGAACCCAGGGCCTCAGGATAGTCAACTGTCGAATTGAGCTAATTGCCCAGAGGCATTGAGAAATCTGATCAAAATGGTTTCATATTCTTGCTTACATGATAAAAAAGTAGTAGGTCCATTGAATCACCAACCACTAATAAATCAGGTTGGATCATGTGTCATGGTGGAATAAACATCCCCTTTGGTGTTAGTTTGGAAATACTCTAGCAAAACAGATAAACCTATGAATTAGGGTTGCTCAAATACCACAGATAAAGTTAAAATACATTGAGCATTTAGAATATTTGAATGTGTTTTCAGAATAACCACAAGGCCTTATAAGCTTGTTTATTCGGACTTTTGCGCATTCGTTTGATAGATTTTTTCCTCAGTAATTTGGACCCACAATGCATCGCTTCGTACACAATAGCTAAAGCAACATTCTCACGAGAATAACAACAAAAGTTAAACGAATAATAAACTTGCCTTTATTTAATGAATATATGGCAGAAAAATAGTCAATAAAATGGTTCTTCATTAAAATCAGCCCTCTTCAGGCTTCAGTTTGGTAAAGCAACATGCATGCAACGTAGTGACAGACCGGAGAGCTACAGTACCACCCATGTAAGCTATACATTTATTGTGCACTAAAAGTTGTGCTTGGTTTTGGATTAAATCTTCCAAATTCTTACCTCAATTGCAAAAAAGCAAGCGCATTGGACTGGATTATCTTGCAAACCAAAATGGCAGTATAAATAGACAAAATTTTAGAATTAGATCTCAATTTCAGAGCCATGAGGGCTTTCATGGCTATTAACAACAATATAAAGGAATGTTTTGTTGTGGAAACAGTCATGAGTGAAAGAATATGTTAGGAACACATGGTTAGTAAAACTTTGAGAGGACAGTTTTAAATACATGGAGAAATAAATCGAGAAACAGCGCACTTTTTTGTGCGCAATAAATATACAGTTTTTTTCAGTGGGTGGCACTGTAGCTCTCCGGTCTATCAATATATATTATTTCGGAGAGCTACAGTTCTGCAGCTAAGTGTAAATAAACAAAATAATACGGTGAATACCTATTAAAACACCATCCACGTCAAACACAACATGTGTCACTGGTGTGATCATGGGCGCAGCCATTTTTTTAAAACAAAACACTTTCGATCCCGATGATAGTGTCGCGTAGAATTTTATTCGTAATATAATTATTCAACACTAATATCAAACTGTTTTTATATTAATATCATATATTTCATTGACTGATTTACAAACCACAATGTATAATTTTAAAAACGACCATAAACTATTTTATTCGGGATCGACATCCATTTTTTTTCTACTTTCACTTTGATCAAAACATGAACAATTTTTCCAGTGGACATGCACATAATTGCGGCGCGCACTCTTCTGGTGCTCCATCAGTGCATCAAACCCTAGATGAGATGGAGTTTGAGAGAGGAATTTGGTCAGCTGCCTTGAATGGAGATTATGTTGAAGTCCAGAAACATTTAGAGAAAGGAGAAAACGCAAACGTAACTGACAGCTCGGGCTACACAGCTCTGGTAATAGTTATTAATTTATATGAGGATTATTTCAAATATTTTAGGCATATACAATTTATGCTGATCTTTTTCTATCAAAATATATTGATTTGAAATTAATTTTGTAGAGTTGAAAGAGAGTGGCAAATGAATATAGTTTATACAATTTATTGTGGCGGTCAGCCGGGTTCGATCGCCGATGGCCAGATAGCTCAGTTGATAGAGCACCTGACCGGAGTTTCAGGGGGCCCGGGTTCGAATCCCGGTCTGGTCCGTTGCACTTTCTCCTTTCCTGTTAAGATTTGGTGCCGTGCCATGCCCTGGAATTGACAGGTGAAAGACCTGCCAGGGATGAGCCTGGGTTGGGGTCTTTGGAGGGCCAAAGACCTTTAAGGAGGGAGGAATGTGGCGGTCAGCCGGGTTCGATCGCCGGTGGCCAGATAGCTCAGTTGGAAAAGCACCTGACCAGAGCCTCAGGGGGCCCGGGTTCGAATCCCGGTGTGGTCCGTTGCATTTTCTCCTTTCCTGAATCATTATACATGATTATGATATAATCATATAGATGCATGATTTAAATACAGTAACATATTGTTGTGTGTCATTGATTTTACCATTCATTTAGAGAAAGTTAAAGAAATCAATCTATTTTGGCATCTGTTCACTGACTGTTCACATTGAATTGATATTAATTATTAACATGATTGATTAATTAATGCAGTATATGTGATTCATCAAAGTAAGCTGGTCCATATGGGTCTAATAAAAGTTTATATCAGCAAACGTACATTATTTCTGCAAATTTCAGCATTATGCCAGTAGAAACAATCACCTAAACATTTGTGAATTGTTGCTGAAATCAGGTGCTGATGTTAACTGTGTAACCAAATCAGGAGTTACCCCCCTTCATAGAGCTGCATACAGAGGAAACTTAGAGATATTACAATTATTACTTAAAAGAGGAGCGAGTCCTACATTACAGGATTGTGATGGGAAAACAGCACTCCATAAGGTAAATGTGTATACTTACAATGATTTATCATATTAAACTTTAGTCATGGTCATTTTGTCCTCTCCTGACAGACTGACTTAAACAACCAGACTCAAAACTCTTTTATCCTCCTGAAAACAAGTATTTTTTAACTCCATTAATGCAAATCTCATTATATTTGACAGGCAGTGGAAATGGAGAAGACTGATGCAGTGGATGTCCTTGTTAAACAGTTTCCAGACAGTGTATCTATAGTAGACAATAAAGGACAAGCTCCAATCTCTTATGTTAAGGACCCAAGTAGTCCACTGTACTCTAAACTAATGCACCAGAATCCGGGATAAATGGACACATTCTTCTTTGTATGCAGGCATTTGTCATGAGTTCAAGATGAGCTTTTCTTCCAAAAACCAAGCCCTAAGGTTACTTGATAGACAAATAGACATAGTAAACAAAGAAAAAAACTGTAAGAGTTTTTAAAAATAAATATTGATATCATGCAGTATTTTTCTTTTAAGAATAGTAAGATATGGTGATCAAATTTAAGCTCACCTGAGCCAAAGGCTCAAGTGAGCTTTTCTGATCAAAATTTGTCCGTTGTCTGTCGTCGTTGTAAACTTTTCACATTTTCATCTTCTTCTCAAGGTCCACTGTTCAACTAAACTAGCTACAAAGTATCCTTGGGAAAAGAGGATTCAAGTTTGTTTAAATGAAGGGCCACACCCTTTTCCAAGGGGATATAATTATGAATTAGAGAAAAATTAATGGCATTTTTAAACAATCTTCTTCTCAAGAACTACTGGGCCAGTAAAGATGAAACTCAAGTGGAATCATCCTCAGATAGTGTAGATTCAAATTTGCTCAAATCATGACCCCTGGGGGTAGGGCCAAAATGGCTGATCGAAGTTTTACATAAGAATATATAGGAAAAATCTTTAACAAGAGGCCCAAGGGCATTGAATCGCTCTTCTGATAAATTGTACAATCTATCACTTCTATTAGAAGCCTCCAACTCTCTTAGTATCATAAGACCCAAAATGCATCAACTTACAAAGTTTGATAATATTTAGCCAGTTAAGACTGATTTATTATAGTATAATTATAAAATACCATAAGTATCACAGTGACCTACCTTTTGATTGAAATTTTCTGAGGACTCAATATACATTAATTGACAAAGACTGATGATTCTAATTAAATAAGTAGGAGATATTCAAAAGTAGGTCATCATGACCTACTTTTGGTCAACATTCTCTGAAAACTCAAGATGCATCATCTGACAAAGTTTGACGATTCTAAGCCAATTAGTACCAGATATAATTAAATATAGCCATAAAATGTCAAAAGTAGGTCACAGTGACCTACTTTTTGGTCGACGTTCTCCAAAAACCCAAGGTGCCTAAACTGACAAAGTTTGATGATTCTAAGCTAATACATACCTGAGATATTCAAAAGTAGGTCACTGTGACCTACTTTTTGGTCGTCACTCTCCGAGAACCAAATATGCATCCACTCACAAAGTTTGATGATTCTAAGCCAATGAATACCTAAGATACTTAAATATAGCCATAAAATGTCGAAAGTAGGTCATCATGACCTACATTTTGGTGGACATTTTTCAAAGACCCAAGATGCATCTACTGACCAAGTTTGATGATCTTAGGTCTGAAGGTAATCAAAACATGCGTTTTAAACAATTGTCAGCAAAATTCAAAAAGTAGGTCACAGTGACCTACTTTTTCATAAATATGTTTTAAGGTCCCAAGATGCATCAAAGCACAAGATTTGATGATTCTAAACCTCCTTGCTTTGTCTGAAATAATGGAATTTAATGTTTTTAAAAGGATAAGTCATAAAGTTCAAAAAGTAGGTCACTGTGACCTACTTTTAAGTTGACATTGTTTGAGGATTCAAGATGCATCAACTGACAAAGTTTGATGATCATAGGCCTTAAAGTGTCCAAAACATGCCTTCAAATCAATTTGAAAACAAATCCCCGCAAAATTTAAAAAGTAGGTCACCGTTACCTACTTTTGAGTGCCTTTGGCTCAGAAGAGCTAAAAATCTTCTCAAGAACAATTGAGAAGACAGGAAAGATGAAACTTATGTGAAATTATCCTCAGGTAGTGTAGATTCAAGTTTGTTCAAATCATGACCCTGGGGGTAGGGTGGGGCCAAAATGGCCGATCAAAGTTTTACATAGGATTATGTAGGGAAACCTTTGAAAATCATCTTCTCAAGTACTTCAAAGCCATGCTTAGTGATATTTATATGGAATCATCCTCAGGTAGTGTAGATTATTGTTTGTTCAAATCATAACCCCCAGGGATAGGGTGGGGCCACATTGGGGGATCCAAGTTCTTCATTAAAAATATTTTTTAAAAATCTTCTCAAGAATAGCAAAGCCATGATTAGTGATACTAGTATTTATATGGAAGCATTCTCAGGTACTGTAGAATTAAATTTATTCAAATCATAATCCCCAAGGGTAGGGCGGGGCTACAATGGTGGATCAAAGTTTTACATAAAAAAGAAAGGGGAAAATCCCAAGAACAGAAAAGCTATGTTTAGTCATATTAGCATCCTCATGTATTGAAGATTTAAATTTGTTCAAATCATGGCCCTATGGGGTAGGGAGGGAAACAATGAGGAATCAAATTCAAATTATTACAAAGTAATATATAGGAACAAAATGTTTAAAAAGAAATCTTTTTATCAAGAACAGCAAAGTCATATGCTGTATTGATATGAAGGCATTCTCAAACAAGAGATGTTTGTAAAACACTTATGCCCCCCTCCCCCCAATTGGAATTTTTTTGCAAGTCCAAGGGGGCACAACTCTATCAAAAATGGCACGATTGTACCCAAAGCAGAACTTGACCTAGATATTCATGTGATTAATCTGTATATTTAAATTTCATCTCAGTATGTGCAACGGTTTAAAGAAAATGAACGGAAACTGCAAATAATTGAAATTTTTTCATTTTCCAGGGGCATCATTGTCAAAAATGGTTCATACCCAAAACAGAACTTGACCTAGATATTCATGTGATATATCTGTATACCAAATTTGATTTCAGTATTTGCAATGCATGGTTGCAAAGAAAATGAGCGGAAACTGCAAATAATTGAAATTTTTTCAAACTAAGGGGCATAACTGTGTCAAAAATGGTTTATATACCCAAAACAGAACTTAAAGTAGACATTTATGTGATATATCTGTATACCAAATTTGATTTCAGTATGTGCAACGGTTGCAAAGAAAATGAGCGGAAACTGCAAATAATTGAAATTTTTCCAAGTCCAAGGGGCATAACTCTGTCAAAAATGGTGCAATCGTACCCAAAACATAACTTGGCCTAGATATTCATGTGATATATCTGTATACCAAATTTGAATTCAGTATGTGCAACGGTTGCAAAGAAAATGAGCGGAAACTGCAAATAATTGAAATTTTTCCAAGTCCAAGGGGCATAACTCTGTCAAAAATGGTGCTACCCAAAACAGAACTTGGCCTAGATATTCATGTGAAATATCTGTATACCAAATTTCATTTCAGTATGGGCAACGGTTATGAAGAAAATGAACGGAAACTAAATGGACCGACAGTGGATGTCCTTGTTAAACAGTTTCCGACAGTGTTCCGACAGACAGCAGCAAAGCAATATGCCCTCCCTTCTTCGAAGGGGGGCATAATAATATTAAAATTCAAGCCCCCCCCCTCCACCTCAGTAAACTTTCAGTTCTGATCTGTGCTTTTCCTAGCTGGTGTGCTCAGGTGAGCGATGTGGCCCCTGGGCCTCTAGTTATTCAATCTTAGGAATGGACTAGAATTCAATATAGTTGAAAATAAAGTACTGAAAATTCAGTCTGCTCATCATTTGGGTATTTTTATCTTATAAATGAAGAGAAAATGGAGTTTATTTTCAACTTGGACTGGGTTATTTCACTGGACTGGAATGCATGGGATATTAAGCCCTTAAATGCACTTTCAGTAAGTGGTATCATTTTCCCAGGAATGCATTGTTACAACGCACTTTGAAAAATTACGCACTTTGAAAAATTTTTTCAAAGTGCGTTAAAATTTGGGGCCAAGCTAATGCACTTTGAAAAAAATTTTTTTTTCAAATTAGAGAAACCATATTAATGCACTTTGAAAAAAATGTAAAGATTGATCAATATTCCTTCAAATAATCGGTATGATAAATAACTGATCCTGGTTTGATAACTTTTTTATGATAAAGTCACTTTAGGACCTGAGATATTGACGTTTTAAATATTTAAGGTTTGATAAAATAAAAGGGAAAATTAAAGGGTCTTGAAAAAAAGAGTGACGATTGTTTATATTCATTAATTCGTTTCTTCTTCTTTTTTTAATTCAAGTCTTTGATAAGTAGATGTAAAGGTGTATAGGGGGCACTACAGAGGACAGCTTCAAGCAACTTAGCATTTATCATAATTAAAAGGGGCCAATTTGATTGTTCAAAACTATGAAAATTCTTTCTCTCTCATACGTTTTACTGTACTTAAAAATTTCTAGTTTTAATCTGTTTTAATTAACTCATTTATTATTGGAAGTTTTCAAGGTCATACCAGTTAGGTAAATACATAATTATATGAATGCTTTGAGTATAGCATAGACATAGTGACTGGACGAAGGGCCAGGGGAGGGGATGGGGGGCTAAGCCCCCAACTTATTTTGGAAAGATATATACATCGTGTAAGCATTGAAAATGCAGCGTACCCTTTTTAGGTTTATTGCTCCCCTCCCCCGTTTGTTACCGACACCTATGTATTGGAAAGATAAAGATTTGGACTGAATCTTAACCCGTCTTGTCCTCTTTTGACAGGAGTAAATCAATTCATTTTTGAGGTTTTTTAGGCTTAGTTTTTTGAAAGATAAAGACAAATAAAATCTTATATCAACTTAAAATATGAATTTTTTTTCAAGTGCGTTGAATGTCTCCATGGTAAAATATATTGAAGCCCTTACATGCACTTTCAATGCGTTGATTTATCATTTTCGCACAGAAAATGCAGTGCGTTGCCACAATGCATTATAACATTAAGTCATCATAAATCATTGTAAATATTTCAACATTGATAAATCGATGGAGTGATGACTTATATGACCCAAGTTGTTGTCAACTATTTCTGTAACTTTTGTAGTATGGAAAGGAGGAAGGAGTATCTTTCTTAATAAATACATATACATGTAAAATGAAAATGTGTGGTTGGACCTGGAATCAATGAACCTGGGACCCCTGCATTATACTAGTCAGGTGCTCTAACCACTGAGCTATCCTGGTTGATGTCCTCAATACAAATTCCTACACTTTGTTCGACTATTTCTGTAACTTTGTTTTTTTGTACTCAATTATCAAACTTTGCCTCCTACTGAAATGTTCGCATTTAAAAAAAAAAAATTATGAAATGTTAGTTTTTTTAATTATTTTTATTGAAAAAAGAAAATGGTCCAATTACAAAATAAAAATGTCTTGGTATTTGTACATAAATTGCATTGGGTAAAATGATATGTATGCATGAAAGATACAATATGCTTTTGATACCACACCAATTATACATCCCTATACATTAATAAAAGGGGTTATGAATTTAAATTAAATTTCCTTTATAATTTATAGGAAACTGCAAATGATTATCACTACATATGTCTTTAGAAATAAGTATTTTAAGTTAAAAAGTCAAGGATTGATTTCAAAATACAATGTTGCTTCACAGCATACATAGAAAATTTTAAATCATACATGTATCTACAGGTGATTTATTTAAGAAATATTTGAATTTCTATTTGTTTTTTCTGATTTGAAAGTTAGTCGGGTTGATTTCAAGTGAGAGGTCAGGAGCTTAGGAGGCATAATGTGCATGTTAATCTTGTGTGGCCATCTTTGTGTTTGACATCAGTGGGTAGGGATTTTTGAAATTTAAATAGGTGGCCTTGTATAATTTAAATCTATTTAATAGACTACATTTTTAAAATCTAAATTTACAATTTTACTTCACAAAGAAATGGAAATATAAGGAATACCTGTCTAGTTAGTAGAGTATGCCAGGGACATTAACAATAGTTGGAAGCGCCAGACTTGGACAGTGATTCCTCAGTTATTTTATCTGTTATAAAAAATGTTATTAAAAGCTACATCCAATGTATATGCAGTTCAGTTTAAACCAGTTAAGGGCTTCACATAAACATCTATAGTCACAGACATAGCAAAGCATGATAAAACTTAATACCTTCCTGGGTTGGGACACAATCAAAATATTCAAAGCTATTAAAAAATACAATAACAAATATTTGAAAAAATAACAGTAAAATACACCTATAATTGCATTTCAAAAGTTAAGAGTGTGTTGAGTCTATATATATATATGTACTAGTAACTCTTCCCATCTTTAAAGCAAGTAAAATGGGACAAGCTTATATAGGAAAAAAATTCTATTCTTATCACACTCTACAACATTTTTTCTTTAAAAATAAAGAAAGGAGGGACGGTAAATGGGAGCTTAATTTATACATTTAAAAAAAATCAGAAATCTCAGTGGTATATTTTTCATGTCTTACAGCAGTAAGAGGCCAAGGGCTATAAAAATTTTTACTGAATTGGTCTGTTTAGAGTCAAACAAGGTGCATCTGTTTTCTGAATTAAGTCAAAGAATTCAAAGAATTATTTATGATTGTCAAAATACTGTAGATTCCTAACTATACGAGTGGAATTAAATATCGCGTAAATTCGTGAGAAGCACCACTCGCAAATTAAAATTACTCTCTTTTATTTTAATGGTGCTTAAAATAATGTAAAATCTCTTGATCAACCATCCATTCGCGAATTATTATTCTCGCGATTTGACGCTGAAGAGCCAATTCACGATAATAAGTACTCACGAAAAATAAGGAATCTACAGTAATCCCTCCTCACAATGCCAGGGGTCCTGAGTCAACACGTTGCCGTTAGACCCTTAAATTGGCATATTTCATTCAATATTCGTGGGCTGACTGTAGCGACATCTTTTGGAAAAATTGCGAAACTTAATTTTTTTTTAATCTCTCAACCAATCACATAAAGACATTCTATGATAAACAACTTGTAACATGTGCATTTAAGGTGTCAGATGAATCCTTATCTAACTATTTTTTAAAGCATTAATCTGATTGGTGCTTCTCGATGAGAAGCAAGCCCACGGATATTGAATGAAATATGCCAGGGGTCTGACGGCAACGTGTTGACTCAGGACCCCTGGCTTGAAAGGATGAAAATAATCTGTTGAAGCTGAGATTCTATGCTTTTTACTTTGATTTACAAAATGAATTATTTTCATTATGGACTTAAATTTAATAAATGAATCATAATTAAAGAATATGTTAAACTATGCATCCTGCCCTCACCAAAAACTAAATTAAAAGGAAACAAAAAGATTGTCAGTAAAGTCACAGTTGGAGATTCTTTAACAGAATTGAAATGCACCTGTGTAGGATTCACAATAAAAACTTATGGCATTACACAGTCACTAGTAGAAAACAACCACCTGAAAGCACTAGATATTAAATCCTGTTAGCATAATACAGTCAAACCTCATTATCTCAAACTCAATAGGACCGAGAAAAACATTGAGATATCCGAGTATTCGAGATATCAGAGGTAAAATAGCTAGACAATAAGTGGTTGGGACTTCCAAATCACTTCCAAATCATGGTATTTGGGATAGCAGTGATTGAGATAATAAGGTTCAACTGTAGCTTGCCTGCACCAGTAACCAACAATCTATATACATGTAATACAAAATAGGAATGTTATGAGTATAAATCAAATACATGTACACAAGCATCATAGACAATTATCAAGTAAATTGATTTTTTTTTTACATGTACATAATGAAATGCAGAACAAAATGGTAGACTCAAAGCTGATGAAACATTAAATACATCACAACCTGAAGAAGAAAAATCACATAAAGTCAACCCTGCAAAAAAGAATCGTACACAAACTCTTACACAATAAAAATAAAATAAATTCTCTGTTGAAGCCGATTACAAAAAGTACATTGATATGTTCTCACAGACAATCTTCACATAATAACACAAGATATGCATAAAAATTAAAATAAAACTTTAAAATTTAAATTTGCTGCACATTAAATGTGGTAAACAAAATGTCCATGTATGACCAAGCACAAAGAAAAATTATGAATTTACAAGGTGTTAATTTCTATGTCTACATATGGACATCCCCCTCTTTAACATTGTATTTAGGAGCCGAGTTTTTGAAGTTTTTGTAATTAGCTGCGACATGTCGAATGTAACCTTTCCGCACTCCCCACGTGACCAGGCCAATCATGATTCCGATTCCAATGAGGCAAAATAACAGGGAAAGTCCTACGGTGAGCCCAATCTGTAGTGACCTATCCTTTTCTGGTGGGCTAGAAGATACTGAAAAAAGTTTTAGTACACATAATAAGGAGTAACTGGTAATGTATGTTTATATTTATTTAAGGAATCACTGTCTAGTTAGGAGAGTATACCAGGGCATCAACAATAGTGGGAAACATGGGCGAAGCCTGTTATGCTAAAATTATCCCAGGTTTCCCACTATTGTTGATGTCCCTGGCATACTCTCCTAACTAGACAGTGATTCCTTATATTTCCATTTTTACTTGAAATAAAAATCTTAAAATAAATCGAAATACCGTCTAATTTAGTAGGTTTGAAATGCACGAGGCCCCATCACGTCAAATTTTACTATAAAAAATACTGCAGAAGTACTTTTTTCCGCATGGTATTAATTTACACTATATACGCAGTCGCAAATTCTCCACGGAAATTTATCCAAGCGTAGTTAATATAAATGTAAGACATAGTGACAGTCTAGAAAATCCGCGTAATTTTCTACCCACAGATTAAACAGAAATTGAGATTCCGCAGAATTATGACCACGGGGAAAAAAGTACGTCTACAGCAGTCCCATAAAAACACGAAACAAATTTATTGATTATTTAGTTACCGTATTCAAATATCAACATTTACAAAATAAACAACAAAAGAATTTTAAATTATGATCAAAGCAATCTTGTTAACTTTAATTATATATGTGACCCAGATTTAAGTTGTCGGAAGAACAAACACGTGTATAGGCCCCAGGTCACTTCTCCGCCGCCATATTGAATGCAATGTTGCAGTAGATGAAACGGGAGTTGGTCAGCATGGTCAGGAAACAGATTTGTGTGGATGTTAAAAGAGGAAGTTAGTTGCTTAAGAAGTCGGATGGTAATGACTGAGGGACGATGTATGTATCAGATGATGGAGAGCAGATCTATGTGGCAATGCTGATTTCTCCACGTGGGTCAGATGGGCTGTTTACCATGTTTACGGAAGTGGGGTTCTCGGTCTCGTGAGGCCTCGGTGAAAGTGGACAGCGTTGCGCTAGTGACTTGCTTTTGATCCGAAGATGATTCATTATTTATTTTGTTTGTTAAAAGATATATTATATCTAATTGTTTAGTAAACAATTAAAAAAAAACATCTACTTTTCTTTAGTGTATTTATACGTCAGTGATATATACATGCAGGTTGACATTTGACCTTTCAGTAGTTATTTCAATAGAGAAATTTACATGCCACAGGAATCATGGAGAAACTAACAAGATTCACTTTCGTAGTGTTTATCATAGGGAAAACAATTGGAAATGGAAATATTGTGAAATCCCAACTTTTTGTGGGGGTGGGATGGGGATAAATTTTCATTGCTTTTGAGGTATGAAAAGACCCATGAACTCATGTCCACCATGAAATGTGAAATGTTACATGTACTCAACTATTCTAAATCCAAGAAATCAAATCCCCACAAACCAAGAGTCCCCCCCCACCAAACCACTAAAATTTGACTCCATGAAAATATGTGATTTTACAGTAATTAAAAAATAAGCACAGAAATTAGATATTATTGCAGTCTACCCTGACCAGCATTATGTATGCAGAAGAAAGTGAATAAGATGTAAATATTTCTCTTTTAATATGAGAATGACATCATAAATTAGCACACTTAAAATTTATTGCAGTCTTCCACTTCAAAAGATTATCATAATCATAAATTAATAAGTGCATTTGCAACAAGGCCTCTGATATGCATTCGTTATGTTAGCCAAAAGGCAATGTACCTTCTAAGGTTGAAAGCACTAGGTCACTAAATGAGTTATTGACTGGTTTTGTAACATTAGCGTGGTACTCCCAGCCTGTATTTGTGTGGATTAATCTTCCTGTAATTTCAAACTCGCCGGAGGCTGGGATGCGGTTACTGGTGGCCATATACATGGTGGACTTGGTGAACTGAATGGTGAAATTTGGAGCATTCAATAAATGTCCTCCTAAAAAATAAACACAAAGCTCAATTACTCAGAATCTGTTATATAAATCTTTAAGTTTACGACCTCATTCCAAAAAATAAATGAATATAAAATAAATGATATGAATTGAAACTCTGTGGTCATATCCTAAATGTTCCTAGTACATTCTATATTTCAGATGTCCATACTTTATAACTAGATGTCTTAGATGTTCATTCCTTCTATAAACCCCAATATAGTGTTCTAGATGTTCATGCCCTCTAATTTTTTGTCCTGTAAGTTCAAACCTTTGAATTTGATGTCCTCCATATGTATACTTTCTTGGTCATGGTTCTAGATCTTAATCTGTATTCTAGATGTCCATATTGTCTAACTTATGTTTTAGATGCTATCTACATTTATATTTTAGACGTTGATGATTTTCGACTCCTTGTCCCACATATACCTTAAGTTATACCCTTTCTCTCTGTATTTCTCTAATTATATAAGCTACACCCTTTCTCTCTGTAATTCTCTAAGCTACACCTTTTGTGTGTATTTTCTCTTGTTCATACCTTCTAATTCCATGCTTGTGTCAGGATCTGAAAAGCCAGCATACACAGTTCCTAGACCCTCTTTCACAACATGGTAGATGCTCATGCTACATTTAATCTTTTCTGTGTGTCCCTCTGTTTCATAGTAATACATGTAAGAGCCAAACCACCTTTGATTATCCACAAAAACATCCTTCCATGATGAACCTAAAAAGTAATTATGTACATGTTAAATCGAGAAAACATTCTGCAAAAAGATCATGTTTAATGTGCTTCTTTTTTTTTAAGTTTTAAGGACTCTACAAATGCATGTTTACTAGTGAAAAACAAACATTACAAAGAGTAGTTTACATCATTTAGCATGATGATTACTATTACAAATTAATAACCTAATACAAGAAATACTGAATACCAAATGCTTTGACATATGATAGAAGAAATGACAAATCTGGTGAAATTTATTCAAAAATATATGTTTTACCATTTAATTTTCGTACACATACCAGTATCAGAAAAGTCAAAATACTCTATATTTCAATCATTACTTAGGGCAGCTCTAAACAAGGCACACATACTACAGAGCTCTATTTTTGTTGCAGTTTTACACAATTAAGAGTTATCTGCTGTTAAAAACGTGGTCGAATAAATACTAGGATCTATATAAACTTAATAACATTTATATTATAATTTTTGACAAATTCCAAATAACCTTTATGTTTAGAGCTTCTTTAAATTCAGCTTACCCAAAATCTGAGGGAGGATACAGATCAAAAAGAGTAATGTTGATTCGGTGCTCCCCATCCTTCCTTACTTGTCTGTCAGAACAACTACCGGGATATCTTTACCTATCAGGGAAAAAAGAATATAATTATAACTTCATTATTGGATCCTTGGGCTATTGGGTCAAACATGTATTGGAACAATCAGAGTTAGATGTGCCATGAAAAATACAATACTCAATAAAGAATATACACAGAATCTGAAAGTACAAGGGAGAAAATTCAAAATGCAAAACAATGCTGTCTGCAATAACTTTTGGCTGCAGTTTTTGTTGCAAATAAAGGATGTCACTTTTTTGTTAAAACCTAAATCAACTGCTGACTGCAGTGAATTCGAATTCATTCAAAGAAATTACAGATCCTGTTATTCCTTGCTGTACATACATGTATTGTATGTGTACTTAAAATAGCGGGCTTCATATTTTAGCGGCTTTGGCGCAGATGAGGATGTTCTAATTCATGAATAATACCGCTAAGAATTCATTTATAAATAGAATATGTGGCATGCACATGCATAGCGCTAATTCATGATAACGCCAACAACTCCCTATCCATTCATTGCGCTAAATTTTGAATACGCCAAATCATGTACATGTACAGTATTTCTAATTACTTTCAGAACTGTACATTTGAAAATCATTAATTTTTTCACTTTTTATATTAGAGTAAAAAAGAACCTGTGATATATACATTGAGGACTGTCAACTGGTTACTTTATTTTGACATTCAAGTCCCTCCCTAGCTGCAGAACTGTAGCTCTCTGCTTGAGAAAATTTGAACAGATAAAGCAGAGCTACATATCTAACTGTTGTAACAACCTTTGATTTAACCCGCTGCTTTTTTTGTCGCTTGCTTCAGTACATATTATTTCTTTTAGCTTATGCTTTCCCCCACTTTCAGACCTTGTATCCAATAATTATAGATAGTTTTCGATAGGCCTGAATTTAGCGAAAGTTACCTCCCGTTAGCCGCCATATTGGAGGTCGACTCAGTGATTTTCCCTCTTTGTCTTACCAAGTTTAAGAAAATATAGCAGAAATATTTGGTGGAAAATCTTTATAAAATAATTTTTTTTAAATAAAGGAGGCTTCCAAAAATTTATATACTTCAGAAAAATAATGATTTCTAATTCAAAATAGCAAATATAAAAATTTTAAATTGGTTGAACAATGAAGGAATATGAGCATTTGGACCTCCAGTATGGCGGCCAACGGGAAGTAACTCTTGGTCAATCGAAAACTATCTATTGACATACTTTACTCTTCTTAAAAACAAAGTAATATTCACTGCACCAAAGTGCAACTTTTCCAAATGCTAGGAAAAAATGCAAATTTAAGAAAAAGTATAACAAATAGTCTAATAAAGCTATATAGCTTTTCAAGCTTTACAACTATAAATCAAGAAATAAAAGTGTGCCATACCTGTTGAGATTTGTTATTTTGGTAGTTAAACTGTTAAACAGTTAAGATAAGCTGTACAGTGGCAAAGAAATATATATCGATATAGAATAGGAGTCAGTGTTAAGAGAATATTTACCAAATTAAGTAGTCTACAGCTTTACATCTTGAGTTCAAAAAGTGTCAGTCTAAATTAATCTAAAGACTAAACCGAAACCGTGCAGGTGCACTGCGGAAGTAAACAATCAACATTATTTACCTCGTTCCTGTTATTTAAAAAAAATAAAATAAATAGATAAAAAGTAATATTCCATTTGCTTGTTATTCAAACCAACAATTCATAATTATTTTTTCACATGTTGACAGAATGACATTATAGTCCCATAGTTTTACACCCCTTATATTCAGCAGTAAATATCATGTGATCCGAAAGTTGAGTCAGAAAGTTGTTGACATTTCTAAAATATTTTTTATGCTGGTACTTTATTAAACATTCAACCATGTCGAAGGCGCCAACAAAAATGAAGAAGAAGGTAGGTTACTTAAAACTTTGTATTAAGTATAAAAGTTCATAGTCCTAGTCAAATGTGTTGAGGCAACAGTTCGAGTTATCTCTGCTTTACTTTTTTAATTACTACGCCAAACTAATCTTCTACAGACAGATAGACAGGTGTAGACAGTCTTGTGGTGTTAAAGATGTCAAATTTTAAGTCAATGCAAATCTACATATATTTTTATTACATATAAGTTATAAAATTATCAGTTAATCTTCATTGTTGCATGCTCATTACAATATCATATGCATATGGCTAATTACTAAGGTGATCCCTTGTTTAGTTAAGCTCTTTGGTTGTGCAAACTAGAGAGCTACAGATCCAAGCATTAAGCTGCAGAACTGTAGCTCTCTGCTCGAGGAAATTTGGACAGATAAAGTAGAGAGGTACAGCTCGATCCAAGCATTCATTGTAAAAACACTGATTTTTTTGTTGCTCACTTTGGGTATTATTTCTTGTATTTTATGCTTTTCTCAGCTTTAGAAATGACATCTAATAATATTAAACATATATCTAACTCGATAATTCAACAAAAAACCGTTTGTGCATGGTTATACAGATGTCGAAATGGAACTCTTGTAAACCAACACTACAAAACTATAAAACAGGACCGTGTTTCGGACTGTTCAAAGGTAAATAAAGTTTCAAAAATAAGAGTTAAATATATTTTTAATTATTGGATACCATTGTAAAAGGAAGAGAAAGCATTAACTACAAGAAATAATACTGTAAATGAGCGACAAAACATTGGCGGCATAATTCGAAGGTTTTTATAATGCTTGAATCTGTAGCTCTCTACTTTATCTGTCCCAATCTTCTCAGGCAGAGGGCTTATACAGTTCTGCAGCTATGTTAAAACCAAGTTAAAGCCAAATGTCTTTTGGTTTCACTTTTTCTAACACACTTTTCATATCTTGTATTACCATTGTTTGAGTGGGTATACATAAATACAAATGATACAAAAAACAATTTAATACTGGAAACACGCTATTAAAAAAAACAGGACTGTAAATGAAAGAATTTTAACCATGCTTAGATTTGCAGCACTTTGGTTCGTCTGTTCAAAGTTTCACCATCAGAGAAATTATATAGTTCTGCACTAGTTCTCTTTCATAGAACAAACTGATGAATTTCTCCACCTGTAAGTGTAATGACACATAATATCCCAGTTTTGTTGCCATCCCCCTCGATGTCTTGTTAAGGGAAGAATCTCAAACCCCGTTCTTCTTTTTTAATGTCCCAAGTTATAAATCAGTTCTGAGTTCCAAGGGACAACCCTGATTCTAATCACTAAATATTCAGTTTTGTAAATGACAGGTGCTGCTAATGGGTAAAAGTGGATCAGGGAAAACCAGCATGAGGTCCATTATTTTTGCCAATTATATTGCAAGGGACACAAGAAGACTAGGAGCAACAAGTATGTGAGATCTCTAATACTTGTAGCTTTGTGTAAACTTTTCAATTCATGTTAACACTAAGTCACTTTTGAGAAATCATATGTGCAAACTATTAAGTTTTGACATTAGTCTAATTGTCACATTTAAGTTGTTTGACAGTTTGAATGTTTAATAGCAAACATGATAATATCTTATATAAAATGAATAGATTTATATGCACTGAATTTGAAAGTAATAATTTGAAGTAGGTAACAAAAATTGTCATCATATTTATTAAACATATACCGTGTACTTATTTCAACTAAAGTGTTTTTTTTTTTCAGTTGATGTGGAACATTCACATGTACGTTTCCTGGGAAACCTTGTCCTAAATCTTTGGGACTGTGGAGGGTAAGCTTTTAGTTATAAAATTGAAATTTGCATACTCTTTTAATTCACAGTAAGGACTCACAATATAGTAACCAAATAAATATTAAATCAAAGTGAAGTACCAGTACCTGATACATTACATGAGCTCTCTATTTAACTGTGTTTTCAGACAGGAAGCATTCATGGAGAACTATTTTGCGAGTCAGAGAGACAACATTTTCCGTAACGTGGAGGTCCTGATCTACGTGTTTGACGTGGAGAGTCGGGAGCTGGAGAAGGACATGCATTACTATCAGTCCTGTCTAGAGGCCATTCTACAGAACTCGCCCGATGCCAAGGTCTTCTGTCTCGTCCACAAAATGGACCTCGTGCAGGACGATCAGAGAGATATGGTACAAATCTTTTTTAATGTTTGGCTCACCTTAGCAGATAGTTAAAGTGAACTTTTCTGATTCAAATTTTAAAACTTTCAGAGACACGCGAGTCTCTGCTATAATATATATTTAAATTTTTCTTAAAATATTACTGTAATATTGCAAAAAAATAAAATTAACATGATAGAATTACTGGTAGTATTATTAGAAATAGAGAGGTCTGTTTATAATTTTAAGATCAAGAGTCTGTTTACACACATTTCCTAAAAATATATACTTGTGTTACTGCAGACATTTTACATTATTTTATTGATTTCAGATATTCAGAGAAAGAGAAGAGGATCTAAAGAGATTATCAAAACCACTGGATTGTACTTGTTTTGCTACATCTATCTGGGATGAAACTCTGTATAAGGTATTGTTAGACTGAAGAGTGTCTAATACTGAAGGAAATTGTAACGTGTAAAGGGTTTTAAGCAGTAACTATATAAATAGTTTTCAAAGGACTATATGTGCATTAAAAGTTTCAAGTAGTGAATTATTTAGTGAAATGATATATAATAGAGCTAAACAGACATGCTGGGCAATTCCTTAAGTATCACTATTGCAGACAGCATAATTAAAACACCTTTTCAAATATTGTTCAAAGAATTGACATGATAAAGATTTTGAATAGACAACAACTGAACTTTTTTCCACCTTTTCAGGCCTGGTCTAACATTGTTTATCAGCTGATTCCTAATGTTCAGCAGTTAGAAGCCAACCTGACCAATTTTGCCAACATAATCGAGGCAGACGAAGTCCTCCTGTTTGAAAGGGCAACATTCCTGGTAGGGAGCTACTTTATTTCAAGATTCTTTATGTTTTCATATGTTTGCATACATGTATGTGTGTCCTGTACAAGTAGTGCTATAAATATTACATTTCCTTAATACCTTATCCCTTCGGTCTTCCCACGATTCTGTGTACATTAAAGCAATATGAGCTGCATTTTTGAAAATTTTATTTTGCTGTTGAAATGTGTTATTATGATAAAGTTGTATGTAACTTAAAACTTTATGATCTTGTACACTATACATTAGTTGATGTACCCAACATTTACATGTACAGTATATGCATATAGCACATTGTAGGATAATGAGTAAACTGCAATGTAAACAGTCATAGAATAGGAATGAAAATAAATGTTTATGCATTATTACACTATATTACAAACAGCAAAGTCATAGTAAAAATGTAATGTCTAACTTTTGCCATGTATTGATGCATTCCTCTCTCAGTCATGCACTAAATGCCTGCACTAAATGTCAAAACAATGTTTTGTTAAAACCGATTTTTGGCAAATTGCCAAGTTGAAGCTGTACACACATACATTTACAGCATACAGTACTTTTTTAAGTCACCTGAGTAAATTGCTATCTGTTTTTGTCAGATGTCGTCTGTGTCGTGTGTTAACATTTGAACATTTTCAGCATCTTCTCTGCAACCACTCAACCAATTTCAACCAATTGGGCTTAAAGCATTTAAGTGTGAAAGGGAACACAAATTGCGAATTTCATGGTCCCTGCCCCCTTTGGCCTGAGGGGTGGGTCCAAAACTGCTAAAATTAATGCTATCTTTAAAAAGCCTCTTTTTTACTCCTGGACATCAAGCAGTTAAACTGTTGGCATGATTGTAATCATCATTGAGTCCTCTACCAATACTGTGAAATTCATGGCTTCAGTGTCAGGGGTTCTAGTATTAGGACAGGGCTCAAAAGATTGTGAATTTCATGGCCCCAGGGTCAGGGTGTCTGGTGTTAGGGCGAGGCTCTATTGACTATATAGTGAAAATGCATAAATTCTTTAAAATCTTCTCCTCTGCTCCTCGATATTAAACCAATGAACTATGTACATAGTTATTATGATGAGGAAGGATCACTCTTCCACACTCTTTCACAATTTTGTGAATTTCAGGGCCCCTGGGTCGGGGATATTGGTGTTAGGGTGGGGCTCAAATGATTATACAGTGAATAAGCATGAATGCTTTGAAAATCTTTTCCTTTGCTCCTGGGTATTTTGCCAGTGATCGAAGTACATACACCTGTATTTATGATGAAGAAAGATGCCTCTTCCAAAATGATTTATTCATGGCCAGGGGTAAAGGGGGGCTACATAGTCTGAAAATAAATTTAATGCTTTAAAGTCAGCTCCTCGATGTTAATCAAACATTTATGATGAAATAAAATTTATTATGAAATTTTAAAGAATTTGAAATATGAGGCCCCAGGGTCAGTGGTTCCTGTGGGGTAGGGTGCACAACTGGTTATAAAGTGGAAATCCAATTTCTCTTTGTTAATCTGATTTACCTCTGGGTATTAAGTAACCACAGTAAGCATGCTAAGTGTATAAATGTAGTTATGAAAAGCAATGGTTCTTCTTTCAAGATTGTCAATTTCATGGCCTCTGGTTTAAAACACGAACCAAATTCAGTTGTTGGAAAGTTGTTACATGATACTCAAGTGACCTATAAGGCCCATGGGTCTCTTGTTTTTTTTCCTCAATGTTTATAAATTTTCAGTTTTCTAGTACAGTACATTGTGTTAAATTTTATAGTCTTCTGAATGTTTAATTTTGCAGGTAATTTCTCACTGCGAGAGAAAACACCACCCTGACCTCCACAGGTTTGAGAAGATCAGTAACATCATTAAGCAGTTTAAACTAAGCTGTAGCAAACTAGCAGCCACATTTCAGGGAATGGAAGTCAGCAATAAGAATTTCTCGGCGTACATCGACGTCTTTACATCCAACACCTATGTAATGGTAGTCATGTCAGATCCCACTATACGTGAGTGTTACCTTGATTCTTACTTTGAAGTTTGCAAACCAAACACTGTAAGTTATGAATAAAACAAACAATCAAAAAAGTATTCTTGTCTTTATATCACTTGTTATTGAAAATTTTCTGGAAGAGTTATTTCCCTTTGTAGCTCTCTTTAAATTAAAGGTTTCAATGAAATATTATTCATGAATACATATTTTATTTTCAGCTTCAGCAGCAACACTTATCAACATTAAAAATGCCAGGAAACATTTTGAGAAATTAGAAAGGGTTGATGCTGGACATTCCTCAATAGCCTCAAGATAGGGAAGAGGAAGAGGAATTCCTAATGTAAAAACTGGTCATACACTCAGACTGACCCAGTGCCAATGAACCGCTACCAAAGTGTTAAAACTGTTAAGACTTCTGATAAACTAACTAGGCATGTAAGGTGCATACATGCTGTCTATATCAGGATAAACAAATTCTACTAACAGGGTGATCTTATACAAATGAGATATAAACATAAAGGTATACTGCTAGAAAGGTCGAGAGGTAAGCTGCTGTTATTGTGAATGAATGTGTTGTTGTCTGTCTCTGTTTTTTTTCTTTCTTGCTGGTATTTTTGAGTTACGGAAAACTGCACCTGTAGGTGTATAATTCATTTTTTTTTTACATGTACTTAAATAGACTGACTTGCATTTTCTGTATTTCATGTACACATGTAATATATGACATTACCATGGATTGGTTACAACTCAGTGTTATTGTAAATTGTTGTTTTGATGTAAAGAAGAACATTTAAGACATATTGTGTATTGGAATCATGTTTTTAAACCAGTGTCTGTTAAGCTGCATTAAAATTATTTAAATGTGATTATCATGTTGTCATTGCTCTCCATATTAGTATTCCCATGGTCACTACAACTAGAATGACTGTAAGTTTATAATTGCTAGCTTGTTGCATTGTTCATTAGTTTTTAGCTCACCTGAGCCGAAGGCTCAAGTGAGCTTTTCTGATCACATTTTGTCCGTTGTCCGTCAGTCCGTCTGTCTGTCCGTCTGTAAACTTTTCACATTTTCGCTTCTTCTCAAGAACCACTGGGCCAATTTTGACCAAACTTGATACAAAGCATCCTTGGGTGAAGGGGAATTTAAATTGTTAAAGAAAAGGGCCAAGTAACGTCACAAGGGGAGATAATCAAGAAAAGACAAAAATAGGGTGGGGTCATTAAAAAATGTTCTTCTCAAGAACCACTGGGCCAGAAAAGCTGAAACTTATGTGGAAACATCCTGGGGTTGTGTAGATTCTAAATTGTTCAAATCATGACCCCGGGGAAAGGACGGGGCCACTATGGGGAATCAAAGTTTTACACAGAAATATATAGGAAAAATCTTTAAAAATCTTCTTCTCAAGAACCACTGGGCCAGAAAAGCTGAAACTTATGTGGAAGCATCCTGGGGTAGTGTAGATTCTAAATTGTTCAAATCATGACCCCCGGGGAAAGGGTGGGGCCAATATGGGGAATCAAAGTTTTACATAGAAAATATATAGGAAAAATCTTTGAAAATCTTCTTCTCAAGAACCACTGGGCCAGAAAAGCTGAAACTTATGTGGAAGCATCCTGGGGTAGTGTAGATTCTAAATTGTTCAAATCATGACCCCTGGGGGAAGGGCGGGGCCACTATGGGGAATCAAAGTTTTGCATAGAATGTATAGGAAAAATCTTTGAATATCTTCTTCTCAAGAACCACTGGGCCAGAAAAGCTGAAACTTATGTGGAAGCATCCTTGGGTAGTGTAGATTCTAAATTGTTCAAATCATGACCCCTGGGGAAAGGGTGGGGCCACTATGGGGAATCAAAGTTTTACATAGAAAAATATAGGAAAAATCTTTGAAAATCTTCTTCTCAAGAACCACTGGGCCAGAAAAGCTGAAACTTATGTGGAAGCATCCTGGGGTAGTGTAGATTCTAAATTGCTCAAATCATAACCCCTGGGGGAAGGGTGGGGCCACTATGGGGAATCAAAGTTTTACATAGAAATATATAGGAAAAATCTTTGAAAATTTTCTTCTCAAGAACCACTGGGCCAGAAAAGCTGAAACTTATGTGGAAGCATCCTGGGGTAGTGTAGATTCTAAATTGTTCAAATCATGACCCTCAGGGGAAGGGCGGGGCCACAATGGTGAATCAAAGTTTTACATATAAAAATATATAGGAAAAATCTTTGAAAATCTTCTTCTCAAGAACCACTGGGCCAGAAAAGCTGAAACTTATGTGCACATGGAAGGAACCTGGGGTAGTATAGATTTCAAAATGTCTAAATTATGATCAGTGGGGTAGGGTGGGGATGCATTATGTATTACAAGGAGGAAATCTGGTAAAGAACAGAATGGTCAAAGCTTCTCAGGTGAGCGTTTAAAGAAATAGTAGAACTATGCAGGCTAAATCCCAATGATACAAATTTCACAATGCCCAGGATTCACAGGTTTTTGCAATGAAGAAATTGATATGTTTGCTAGATATCCATGAACATATCAAATAAATTGGATAAATTTTTTAACATTGCCACAGGGGGAAATCTGTGTGTAGAACAAAGTGTTAGTGGAATACTGCTGTAACAGTAGTACTTTATCTGTTTAGTTTGACGGTGGATAGAACTCGGACAGACTGGAACTCGGACTTCATGCATTTACAGCTAATTAGGTCCTTCAGCCCATAACTTTTGAGTGGGTTGGGCTATGGTTTTCACATTTCATAGGTGTATTCCTTGTAACAAGACCTTTCTTTGGGTACCTCCACATTACACCTCTTGACCTTGGGATTTGACCCACTTTTACACAAAAATTACAAAATTTTAACCTTGGACATAACTATTGAATTTTTGTTGCTAGGACTCTCATACTTCACATGCACAGGCACTTGTTTCAGTAATAATTTTCTAACCCATGGTTCATATATAATAATAACGCAAGGTATGTAACTCCGAATTACACCGAGTACTCCCCCCTCCTAGAATCGCACTCATTTAAACTTTCAGAGGAAATACAGTCACAAACTGTTTATACTTGTGTCTTCTACAATAATTTATCTACATAACCATATGGCATGCTTGTGTTTTTTTCCTTTAATCTCCATAAAGAGCATAAAAACTGTGCTTGCCGGGTGGAAAAGTCGTATTCAACCATGAAATGTGTTATTATTACATGTGTACTATGGGTTAAAAATTTATGGGTTAAAAATTTATTACCAAACAAATGCCTGTGTTCACATGTTTATTTATTGTGACAAGACCTGTCCATGAAGAGTTTGACCCACTTTAAAAAAACCTTGGCCATAACTTTTTTAAACAGATAGGCAACATTGTTGCAAAGCACGGCCAAAATGTACGATCCTCTCCAATTCTGGCTATGGATGAATGAGAGAATGAATTTGTACCTCATTAAAATATTAACCAATGCGAGTAAAGTAATAAAAAAAAAGAACTTTAACATGACCTTTCAAAACACAATCGCAGTTTACTGATGATGTTAATTGTTGATTACAATTGTGATGGAAACAAATATTGTCATTGGTTGAACATTACTTTTCAGAGAGGGATATTCAAGATTACGACAATTTATGTGAGCAGTCATGGGTAGGAGAGAGCTCTATATGGGGACTCCCAACCATGACTTGAGACAATGGCTAGGCTAGGGCTTTCATATTTCACAGGTTTTATTCCTTATGACGACCTTTCTTTGGATACCAACATTTTTGACCTGTTGTCCTTTGAGTTTGACTTGCATATATAGAGGATATTCAATGTTTTGTAGTTGAATAGACAATGGATTTTTGATATTTTCATAGGCTAGGGCTTTCATATTTCACAGGTTTTTTATTTTTCCTTATATTAGGTCAAGGAAGATTTTACAGCAATTTCTTTATGGGAAGGGAAATCGAGACCTTTTGATATTTGTCACACTGTCCTTTGATATTCTTTCACAGTATTGACAATGAATAAATTGCATATAAAAAACTTCAACCTTTGTCATAAGCTGGAATCAGTGTTTCACATACAAATCTTGTTTAAATGATCCAAAAGTAATTCATGAGGAATAAACAGATATAAAATCATGAATTTTATTGTACATTTGTAGTGTTACTGGTAATTTAATTTCAGTATGATTCTAGAACAAAGAAAATCCAATCATTGAAACACTTTATTGAAACAATATAAATGTATATCAAAAACACTGATACTAGCAAAATTTTGTAGTGTTAAATAAAACATTGTAAAAATATAAAATATTTAAAGGAACTAGTTAAAAATAAATGAGGCTGAAATATCTACATAAACAACGTAAACATAAGAGACCACCTAAAATAAGCATTGTTTGTTCAATTTTTTTTCTCATTCTTTTTTTTTTTTGCATGATTGAAAAATGCCCCATAATGACTTTTTACCATCTTTGAATGATCATGACGATATTATATTCATATAGGTTAAAAAATATAAAATACAAACTAAAACCAAACACAAAGTGTAAAACATTCCATTATAGCATTACTTTAAAATACTGTCTGTCTTTTAAAACATGATTGAGCAGCATATAAAATGCTACCAGCAAAAATTATAAAAAAGAAATGTTAATGAAATAATTAAGTCTTCATTTTAATCTAGTTTTTCTTGTAGTGTTTTAAGAAATAAAAATATATTACTTTAAAAAAAAAAAACTTTCTTGAAACAACACCTACAGTTTTTCATAGACAATATATAGCATTGCTAGTTGTTACCCCCTTGTTCTAAAAGTTGTTTATTCAACAAAAACAAACATTGTGAATTAAAGCTTTTTTTAACACAACCAAAGCACATCTTGCAAAATGTGTTTGAATAAATAGTAAGACTGTGTACAACAGATGGAAAATTTTGCTATATACAACAGAAAAAGGGGGATAGAAAGAAGAGGGAGGTCTAACTAAGGTTTTAAAAGTAAACATCTTCTGTCATTCAAATATTGCAATCCATAATCTTTTCAGAGGCCCTTCTGTTCAGATGTTGAATTCTCTCACTCGGTGGAAATTTGAAGAGGGCTTAGGTTATAAGCACACAAACCCATCATACAATGTTTTAAGGATATCACTGGACTAGTACTGAGGCACTGTTACACAGTGAGTCTGGTTTCCTAGTGTCTGGCGATATCTCATGAATTCAGTTGTTCCTCGGATAAAGCAGGCACCTTGGCCACTTCATAAAACACTCTACAAATAAATACAGGCATAAAGTGATTTAAACCATTATAATCTAAAATACACCTTTTACTTCGTTTTCTAAATTTAAATAATCTTTTTTTAAGGTGGGTCATTTATACAATTTTTTTTTCTCTAAAAGATTAATATGAATGGTAATTAAATAATCAGAAGCTAATAAGAATGGGAGAGGAAATGCTGCAACATAAATACCAGACAGCCATTGTAACAAGGGATCAGAACCAACCTGTGAGAGTACTTGGACTTGATGGTGGTTAATAGTTTGGGAGGGGAGGAAATCATGGCATTCAGATCTTTGACAAGACCAGTGAGGTCCCCTGCTGTATACCCCGTATAGTATTCCAAGGTTGAAGACTGCAATATAAATATGGGTATAAATGGAATGCATTAAAATTCATGATTAGCTGTAAACAAATGGTAAAGAAACTTCTCAAAGGAAACAAGAGGCCCACGGGCCTTATAGGTCACCTGAGCATTATTCAACAACTTTCCAGTTATTGAATTTGATTCATGTTTTAAGCCAGATGCTATATGGCATTACAATTGTAAATAAACATTTTTTTTCTGTTTATTTTTTTTATTTATGTGTTGACTGAATAAGAAAATTAAAGAATAAACAGAAAATAAAATGATCTTTCCTGTGTTTTTTTGACATAAAAAGTCCACACATTGCACAATTTTTAAAAAGGGGTTAAAATTGCTTATCAAAAAATAAAGTTTTATAAAACAGAGGACCTTTTTTCCGCTGTTTTGTTTTATACATAGTATACATGTATTTTTGATAGTCTAATTCAAGAAAAGCACACTATTTACAAAAAAAATCATGCACTTCTACATGTAGCTATAAATATTTGTGACACTCTTAAACCTACCCATTCTCCAGCACTCTTCATTTTCATTGCCAACAGAAGACAGGCAGAAGCCATCTTGGATTCTCTGTATTTGATGTTTTCATACTCCATTAGAGACATCTCAAGAATGAACCTGGCCATTGTAAGTGTCTCCATGCTGGCTCTGGCACACTGTAAAAGTATCAAACAGACAAGCATTTAATGACCTAGATATTCTCAACATCACTTCTTTTTTCCTACATTTAATTTTAAATAGTACTTCCAGAAGTTTTATAATAATTTTAGTGGTCAGCTATCTTAAAATAATGAACACAGAGACCTGTCGACAAAGAAGCAATGTGTGTATATTTTTTCTGGGCCTAAAAGTTTTGTCAACTGTACAAAAATTTAATGTGCAGCGCTTCTGTGAAATAATCTTAGGACTGTAATGGTACCTTAGCATATCTCCTGAGGAAGCGATAAGATAGGGGCATTCCAATGTCAAATCCTACGGTCTTCAGAATGGTTCTCTCCATTTCCAGAAACTCTGTCCTTCTGTAGGCATCATCACAGATGTACAGGAAATCCTCAATCAGGGGTGGACACCTCTCCTACAAAATAAATTTGTTGTTACATTTTCAACTGTGAATTACTCAATTTATCCAAGGAATAAAAGATATATTTTTTTACAGAGAAAAAATACCAAATTGATACTCTACACTGTAAAATCATATGTGCTTCAAAATTCTTGATTTTCCCTCCCTTCATGAGAAAGTAATTAAAAAGCACTCCATATTATCATGATTGTAACATAGCAAGAGCATATTAACCATCACAAATTTAATTAGAATAAAATTAACCAAGCTCCTCAAAAACTGCTGATTTATATCCATATTTACTGTCTCAATTGACTTTAAAATTTGACTATATAATTTAAACTTTGTTGTCTTTAAACTGCTCAATGATGACGTCACAGTTTATGACACTGTGTTTTAAAATGTCAGACAGGGAGAGAGAGAAAACCAGAGTTGTGACAGGAAATTCAACTTGTAACATAACATTTGTGAGACATTTTTTTTTCACTTGTACTGTGCACTCTTGAAAATATCAAAAAACCCCTGTTCGTATCAAATTCCATATCAACACGATCAAACAACAAAACATTGAATGTTTATATGTATACAAGTACAATATTAACTTACTAAGTTGAATTTGAATTATTCAAATTGGGCAAAAACTTTAAAATCAAGAAAGTTCTGCAAACATTTATCTTTAACAAAAAGTAATATTTCCACTTACATCAAATTTACAGGCTACAAACAGGGAGACAGCTCCCACCAGTTGTAGGTTCTCTTTGGGCACCTGTCTGACGGAGAGATAGGTATCGACTAGTTTGACAGCTAGGTACAGAGTTTCATGGTTCAGCTCAAAGTTCTCCTGCACTTCTACCAGCCAGTCCACCAGGATCGCTCGCATGTTGGTGGTCAATGTTGGCTGAGTGTCCATATACATAGGAACCATGAACTTCAGCTGTAACAAGCATACAATTTTATAATGTTTAAACTTTCTTTTTTAAAGATTGTATTTAAAGGCCGAGATTTTTAACCGTACGGTTTTCTCAGGTAAGGGGAGGGACTAAATTTTACACGTGTGGCACCCCGAGGCATTGACGGTCGTGCAGACCGTGGGAAGCTCTTATCCCTATACACAAACAGTATACACAGGAAGTCCATGGGTATTACCTGTACAGCTGGGTGGCCTCTGTTCATCATTAAATTAGTAGAATTCGACATCGTAAATAAAAAAAATATTAATAGTTATTAATGATTATTTTAAAATTTCATAATTTCAGACTTATAGCTAATATCAAACAAGCAGAAATCTCGCAGGCCGACAATTTTTATAAATACTACGGTTGTACGTTACAGCAGCAACGACTTGAGTTCGTTGTAATAAAAATAATAATTATGAAATACAGGTATGTTTTCAAAAGTAAAAATTAGAGCTTCGATCACGGTCAAATAGTAACAGTTACTTGCCGTTTATATAAAAAGTCGCGTGGTCCTATTTTTAGCAAATGTACATTCTGTATCCTATTGTGAAAAATTCGCGATAACGATGGTTTTGTAATGTTAAAATTACATACAATTATGCGTGTATTTTAAGTTAATGTAAATTATAATAAAAAACTTAGAACAAAATATTAAATTATTGCTAACATCTGTATTTCTTTCAAAACTATTTTTAACACCTGTGACCTTGAACGGAGGAAACAACCTACGTAATGTCCTCGAATGTATTTTCAAACGAAGTAGAAAGAAAATTTAATACTTTAATACTTGTCCAGGCGAAGTTGTTACTTATCAGATATTTTGTTTTCATCCTTATGGTTATCCATTTCATGAAAAAAGTGTTACCAGCTTATTTTCTCCTTTATTTTCATCGTAAATTTCGCCGCGTCTCAAAACAAGAATCGTTCTTAATTTTTACGAGTTAAAACAAGATTTCATTCACCAATGCAATTTTCGTTAGTAAAAATATACACAATCTTGATTTATTCTATAGAAATACAATGAGATAAACATTCACTTTTAATGACATGTTTGTAATACAGATTAATTAATTATAATCAAGCTGAAGTTGTTTGCATCGAAATGGCTTCCTTATTACGATGGTAATTTAGCGGTATACTTCAGAAGACCGAAAGTTAATTTGATGGTGGCCATGCGTGTCAAACAGGGTGAAAGAGATATACCCAGGGACTAGTAGATAAATGTCAATCAATTTCAAGTACCCAATGATGGAACTTAATTTATTTGATTGACAGGGGGATACAGACCAGGTAAATCTGAGGGCGGTGCTTATTATCTCGGGCTTTAAAGCATTGATAAGCTTTGAACTTGTATAGAATACTTTACCTCTCTTTCTTTGTAATATCTGAAGATGAATGGGGCGTAGAGAGCACACTGTGCAGTGTCTTGTAAGTTCTCTGTATCCACATCATCCACAGACTGAAATGTAGATGGCATAACATATTCACTAATTTTTCTATTTCAAGACGCGCTATTACAGAATTAAAATTCTTGAATGCAAATGTCAGAAAAACTTTCATGTAAATGAACAGTATAAATGAGTCTGAGAATAACATTTTCTTCTGTTCCATTTCTATTTTTTAAGAGGGGAAAAAGGGATAATGTTGAAAAAAATGTTTCTTCCACATGTTCATCAAAACATATGCTGTCTATCTTTAAAACCAAATTTTACCCTTTCCTTATTAATTCATGTTTGTGTGTTATTGATGATGATCTTGATATTGTTACCTCGGGGACAATCTCCCTCTCCTCTTCCTCTGACACACTACTGATCTGGCTCAGATCCGTCAGGCTGCCCTTGGATGAACTGTTACTTGACACACTGAAACAAAATCAGAATAAAAATACTGCATATTCAATTTTTCCCTTTATACTCTGTAATCTCTCTGTATATTTGTCAACTGATACATATATAAGTGACTTTAGTTAGGGGCAGATAATCTGAGTTTACCTGTCCTGTGAACTGGACACTACAGATCCCTGGGAGAGCTGGATGCCATCTTCCTGAGTGGGGTCTGTGTTCTCTGTTTTCAACGTCCTCTTTTTCTCTGACTTTTTCTTTGTAGCTTTTATACCGATTCCTGTTGGAGGTTTTGATTTCTTGAGAATGTCTTTCTTTTGTTGGATGTTGTTTTCATTTATAGCCTATTACATAAAAAGAATGTCAAAATTTATAATAAAATGTCATCAAAGTGATCAAACACTAAGCTTTATTTTAAACATGTGCCATTTATATCTGCATCCAGCTCTGACATCAAACTATCTTCCAAACCTTGTCTTCTTTATGAGAGGCAAATAGGCAATATTCATTAAATTAGGTATATTTTCTTTCACTTTCAACAGTTTAATAATCACTTAAAATTTACAGTGTTACTTGGGTAACAAAATTGTTCAATAATTTATACGCGTGTTTTATTTAAATGATTGTGAAATATGGATCTGAAAAGCTATCAAATTTTTATTGTACTCTATAGTTTTATTTTAGATTATAGTGAATTTAATATAATTACATTTGTAATATCCCCAAATGCTGCTCTTCTCTTCTGCTTTTGGTCCATCATATTATCTCCCTGTCGTTTGGTTCCATTCAGATTGCCAAGGACATTCACAAATGGTTTCTGGGCATCTTTGTGGATCTGATAAATAAGACAGGAGAAGCAAAGGATAAGTTCACAGTATTTTCTTCAATCTTATACTTTTCTACTTCTCATCTATTGCAACAGTCAACTTATGTCATTGTACGGTTTGCAAATTACATTAAAAAAAAGTATCATTTAACAAAATACACACAACGAAGCAATCATATAACAAATGCACTGAAATAACAAAAGAAAATTACTTACTTGTGACAATGTGCTTGTGCCTGATTTTGATTTTCTGACATCAAGCAAGGAAGTTCCCTTTGATTTTTTGGAATTCATTGTTTTCCTCCTGTGCATAAAATGTAGTCAAAAAACAAAGTATGGTGTGGTAAGCTCCTCTAAAATATTCTTATCACCAGGTAGCAACCACGCGGTTTTGTTCTTGGTGAAATTGTTTAGACAGCAATTTCCATTCTTAGAACATAAACAACTCCATCAGCGTGACCACCAAGTTGTTTTTAAATTTTGTACGCCAATGGCAGTAGTTGATTGGCTGATGACTTTTACTTCATCCAATGAAATCCTAGTTAACACCTGGTGGATATTTTCGTCGAAATTAACCAAGGGGAGTCACTCTAAATTATTTGCGGGAAATGGACTATGAGAAGTTGGTGAGTTTTGAGTTTCACTGCTTGAAAGTGCTTGTCACCGATTAAGAATGTGTCATTTAAATTACATAATTTGTTTATAATTGCAAGAACTTATTAATGCAGTTCTATACAACCCAAGTTTCATTTTGAATTTAAAAGCAATTGATAGTTATATACGAAAGGTCAGTGGGAGTGATTTGGATTTTTAAATTTCGAAGCAGACAGTTGTTTTGTTTGGTCAACTATTTGTCAACATCGCTTTAAATAAATATGTTGTCAATATATTTTAGTTTAAATAACTGTATTGCTGTTTTATTTGAATTTATTAGGGAGAACTTTGAATAAATCTTACATTGTTTTATGTAAATATGCAATCAAGAAAAATTTAAATCATCAAGTCAAGTAAATTTTATTTATTGTCGGCTAATAATATACACAGTATAACAGAAATAACATGAGCTGTGATAGGTCTTTAACCGACTTTAATATATTTACAAAAAGATAAAAATTAGTAAAAAATAATACATTGTTAGTTAAAAAGAAAAAGATAATTTAAATGAACCATAAAAATGCGAAGAAATAACCACATAGTAAGGTAAACTATAATGAAAATATATGGTCTTTTCCATTTATGACTTAAAAATTGATACATTGTAATGGAAGAGGAGAAAAATGCAGCAGAAAGGACCAGGATTCGAACCTGGGCCCCCTAAATCTCCAGTCAGGTGCTCTACCAACCAAGCTATCTGGCCACCGGCAGTTGAAACCTGCTGACCGCCACATTCATCCCTCCTTAAAGGTCTTTGTTCCCTCAAAGACCTTAACCCAGCTCATTCCTGGCAGGCCTCTCACATGTCAGTTCCAGGGCATGGCCTGGGACCAAATGTAACGGGTCAGTCAGGTGCTCTACTGACTGAGCTTTCTGGCCACCGGCAATCGAATTGGCTGACCACCACACAACTAAAAAAAAATTAAATATTGACCTGCATCAATACTTCTGGGCATTGATGTCATAATAATTTTTATTGTTTCATATACTATAGCATGTTTAGAGCAATGCATGTCTTATAAATTCAGCAAAGATAATTTTAGATTTTTAAAATTCAAATATATGTGCGAAATTGTTGGTAGAATTCATTTATGTCTAATTTTTTTTATAAACTCTTACGAGAACTCTGAAATATAGACTGTAAACATATGCAATCAAAATACAGACCTGTGCATTATTCTTATCTGTCAATAAAATTTCTGCAGCACATTTTGGATCCCATGCTTAATTGTTTGATGCCGGAAAGAGACAATTCCTGACTGCATGGTTCAAATTGCATGGATGTTTGAACACCTAACTTATCATATTTTAGAATGGTAGACAGTAGACTTGGAGTAGACTTGCATATATACAACATGTACAAAGGCCATTCAAAAATTACATGGACTTGTTACATGTATATAGAAAAACTATTTGAAACTTGAAATTCTTAAAATTAATTTAGAGATGCAGATGAAAATACATGTATACACTACATATTGCCTCTATGGATCATTATGGTCATACATCTCATTTAATAGTTTAAATGACAGTCCCTGGAACTTCAAAAAAGCGGGAGAATACTTCTTTCACTCAGAGCAAAAGACTGAAGAACTTAGTGCATCATAATACATCGTTGGAAACCCACAGTCGGTCTTGTTTCTCTTATCTCTTAAGAGAAGCGAGACCAACTGTGGGTTTCTAATGATGGATTATAATAATATAATTCAGTTGTGTATGTCAGACTTGCACCGTGTTTGTCTGCATTAATTGTTATCTGTTTCTTTCTATGATAAAAAATGTTAAACATTTCAATCAAATCTCTGAAGTTCTGAATCAAGTTTTACCTAATACTGTTAAAATCTGAGCTAAGTTGTAAATATCATTACATAAAATTCATATATTTGTAGTTAACACTTTTAACGCTTGTTGCATTTCTTTTGAATTTTAGTGTATGCAATAATATTGATTTAGTTAAACCATGCTCTAGCTTGCTTCAATTATTTTAACTTAGCTTTCGAACATTTCCAACCCCTCAGAATGATTACAACTGTGGATGAAAAAGGACAACAAGTAACCATGATAACTATGCATTTCATAGTTTTCTGAGCTCAAGAGCACAGGCATTAATTTTTTCCATATCTCACCTGAAATGTTTGTGGTGTCACCCCTTTGCAAATTGCAAAAGTGATACACATATGTATGATCATTTTAAAAGAATCTTTAATTTTTAGCTCTACTGGTCAGAGACCAGAAGAGCTTATGCGATAGTAATGCGTCCGTCGTCCATCCGTCTGTCTGTCTGTAAACAATTTTTCAAAATGCTACTCCTCCTATTTTGGTCCGATTTCAATATAACTTGGCACACAAGTAGACTACACTAAGTTACATAATTCTGTGCATCGGTTTTTGATTTCAATAAACGGTGTTGCAATGGTTACTAAAAATAGAAATTTCAGTGGAATTCTTTCAAAATGATACTCCTCCTACAGTTTTGGTCCGATTTCAATATAACTTGGCACACAAGTAGACTACACTAAGAAACATAATTCTGTGCATCAATTTTTGATTTCGATGAACGATGTTGCCATGGTTACTAAAAATAGAAATTTCTGTGAAATTGTTTCAAAATGCTACTCTTTCTACAGTTTTAGTCCGATTTCAATATAACTTGGCACACAAGTAGACTACACTAAGATATATAATTATTCTGTGTATCGGTTTTTGATTTCGATGAACGGTGTTGCCGTGGTTACTAAAAATAGAAATTTTTGTGAAAATCTTTCAGAATGCTACTCCTCCTACAGTTTTGGTCTAATTTCAATATAACTTGGCACACAAGTAGACTACACTAAGATACATAATTCTGTGCATCGGTTTTTGATTTCGATGAACGGTGTTGCCATGGTTACTAAAAATAGAAATTTCTGTGAAATTCTTTCAAAATGATACTCCTCCTACAGTTTTGGTCTAATTTCAATATAATGGCACACAAGTAACTACACTAAGATACATAATTCTGTGCATCGGTTTTTGATTTCGATGAACGGTGTTGCCATGGTTACTAAAAATAGAAATTTCTGTGAAATTCTTTCAAAATGATACTCCTCCTTCAGTTTTGGTCTAATTTCAATATAACTTGGCACACAAGTAGACTACACTAAGATACATAATTCTGTGCATCGGTTTTTGATTTCGATGAATGGTGTTGCCTTGGTTACTAAAAATAGAAATTTCTGTGTAATTCTTTCAAAATGCTACTCCTCTTACAGTTTTAGTCCGATTTCAATATAACTTGGCACACAAGTAGACTACACTAAGATATATAATTATTCTGTATATCGGTTTTTGATTTCGATGAACAGTGTTGCCGTGGTTACTAAAAATAGAAATTTTTGTGAAAATCTTTCAAAATGCTACTCTTTCTACAGTTTTAGTCCGATTTCAATATAACTTGGCACACAAGTAGACTATACTAAGATACTTAATTCTCTGCATCGGTTTTTATTAGGTCACCTGAGTAGCTCAGGTGACCTATTGCTATCCGTTTTCGTCTGTCGTCGTGCGTCGTGTGTCGTGTGTTAACATTTGAACATTTTCAGCTTCTTCTCTGAAACCACTGAACCAATTTCAACCAAATTTGGTATACAGCATCTATGGGTGGAGGGGAACAAAACAATTTCATGGTCCCGGCCCCCCTGGGGCCTGAGGGGTGGGGCCAAAACCACGAAAATTAATGAAATCTTTAAAAATCTTCTTCTTTACTCCTGGACATCAAGCAGGCAAACTATTGGCATGAATGTAATGAGCATTGAGTCCTCTACCAAAATTGTGAAATTCATGGCCCCAGGGTCAGGGGTTCTAGTGCTAGGGCGGGGCTCTATAGATTATAAAGTGAAAATAACCCAGGCATTATTTCTTTGAAAATCTTCTTCTCTGCTCCTGGGTATTAAATACACTAACTAAGCACATAGTTATGATGAGCAAGAGTGCCTCTTCCAGATTTGTGAATTTCATGGGACCAGGGTCAGGGGTTCTGGTGTTAGGGCGGGGCTCTATAGATTATATAGTGAAAATGCATTATTTCTTTGAAAATCTTCTTCTCTGCTCCTGGGTATTTAATAAACAAATTAAGCACATAGTTATGATGAGCAAGAGTACTTCCAGATTTGTGAATTTTATGGCCCCAGGGTGTTTCTGGTGTTAGCTCATGTAGATAATATAGTGAAAATGCATTATATCTTTGAAAATATCTTCTCTGCTCCTGGGTATTAAATACACTAACTAAGCACATGTGATGAGCAAGAGTGCCTCTTCCAAAATTGTGAATTTTATGGCCCCAGGGTCAGGGGTTCTGGTGTTAGGGTATACATAGATTATATAGTGAAAATGCATTATTTCTTTGAAAATCTTCTTCTCTGCTCCTGGGTATTAAATAAACTAACTAAGCACATAGTTATGATGAGCAAGAGTGCCTCTTCCAGATTTGTGAATTTTATGGCCCCAGGGTCAGGGGTTCTGGTGTTAGGGCGGGGCTCTATAGATTATATAGTGAAAATGCATTATTTCTTTGAAAATCTTCTTCTCTGCTCCTGGGTATTAAATACACTAACTAAGCACATAGTTATGATGAGCAAGAGTGTTTCTTCCAAAATTGTGAATTTCATGGCCCCAGGGTCAGGGGTTTTGGTGTTTTGATTGTATAGTGAAAATACATTAAATCTTTGAAAATCTTCCTCTCTGCTCCTGAATATTAAATAAACTAAGCACATAGTCATTTTGTGCAAAGATGCCTCTTCCAAAATTGTGAATTTTATGGCCCCAGGGTCAGGGGTTCTGGTGTTAGGGCGGGGCTCTATAGATTATATAGTGAAAATGCATTATTTCTTTGAAAATCTTCTTCTCTGCTCCTGGGTATTAAATACACTAACTAAGCACATAGTCATGATGAGCAAGAGTGCCTCTTCCAGATTTGTGAATTTTATGGCCCCAGGGTCAGGGGTTCTGGTGTTAGGGCGGGGCTCCAATGGATTATATAGTAAAAATACATTTATTCTTTGTAAATATTTTTCTTTGCTTCTGGGTTTTAAGTCAATGTGTATATATATATTTATGATGAAGAAAGGTGCATCTAGTAAAGTGGTTTTTAATGCCCCCAAAAGGGGGGGGGGGTTGGTTACATAGCCTGAAAATAAATTAATGCTTTGAAATCTGCTCTTTGGTATTAATAACCATTTTATGATAAAACAAAATTTTGAAATATATGGCCCTGGGTCATGGTTCCTTTTGAGGTGTACAACTGGTTATAAAGTGGAAGTGCATTTTCTCTTTGTTACTCTGATCTACCTCTGGGTATTAAGTAAATAGTCTATAGTAAGCATGCTAAGTTAATAATTATGATAAGCAATGGTGCCTCTTTCAAAATTGTAAATTGTGAATTTCATGGCCTCCGGTTTAAAAATGACCAAATTTAATTGTTTGAAAGTTGTTGCACAATACTCAGGTGACCTATAATTGGGCCTCTTGTTTTGATGAGCGTCAAGGGTCATTATTCTATTTATTGGTGTTGTAAAGTTTGAAGTCCCAACTGCTACTTTTCTCTTCCTTTGTTATAGGTACAAACCGGTAGAGCTACAGTCTCGACGGAGTCTTCTGGTTACTCCTTGGACCTTGGCCATTTCTCAAACAAATACATTAAATTAATTTTCATTTTTCTTTGACAGTAATGAATGCTTTTATGTGAAAATGCAGAATATTCCATCAGAAATTCATGCCTCATGCATGCATGTAGCAAAGGAACAAATTTTTTTTAGATTGATATTCTGTACCTGCAGTTGACTTTGAACTTGCAGTGGCATCAATAAATCTTTAATACAAATCTTAATCAGAATTGAGGTTCGTCTTCAATCTTTTTATAGCATTAAAGACTGGGATAAATTCTCTCTATACACGTGTAGGACCTTGTCAGTCAGGACATAGAGAGACTGGGTCCAATATCCACCTCTATATACTGTCTACTGATAACCAGGAGTTTACATAGGTTATCTCAGTTATAATTATTAGATCACATTCATTTAATAAAAATGCACTAGTCTGATAATTCACATTAATATATGTGGAAGAATTAACATGGTCATTGACATATATATATTATATGTACAGCTCTCAGATAATGGACAAAGATCGTATACCTCATTTTCTCTCTCATCAGAACATTGACTTTGTAACAAACATTAGATAAAGATAGATGACCTAGGGAGCAATAATCCTGGGGTCATTATTACACGGGCACGTTTACGGGTATCACGCACCCTGTACTAGATCGTACAAAGATAACGCTTAAAAATTGATACGGCTTACATAAAGTGCAGATGATTGGAAGTAGTTGGTTGTAACCAGCCCTGGAACTCTGAATCTAGCCATCTCCAAATCTTATGATCAGTAATTAAATTATATGGAGAATTTAATTGAAGTTGTGACTTTTGTTTAAATTTTTTATTGAGTTGTGTCTATTGTACAATGCTATCCATGGGATACTCCAATTTGCAGGTGAGATTTCTAAGTATCAAGGACTTTCTGCAAAAATTCTCAAGTCAATTAACATGTCTTAAATTGATAAGAATATTAGCATATTATTTATTTATTTATCAATTTATGAATTACTTGGTTATAAATTAATTTTGATAATATGCTCACCCTACATGTATAATTATATATATAAGCAATGTAACTTGATATCATCTTGAAACATGAGACTATGAAGCAATAATTATTTTGATTAGGTGTGATTTTAAGAGAACAGATACAAATAATTGTACATCCGATGGAAAAAGATCTTTAAAAATGTTATAAGATGAAGTATAATTTTAAATGAGTCAGCTTAGATCTGAAGTAGTTATAAGTACTTAGTGGTCACTGACATTTATAATGAGTTTTTTGTTTATGCTTGCATGTTTATTTGATCCTTGTGTGTTACAGTTACTCTCCATTAGTAGTAACTGTACTGTTATAAGTGTTTTAATTCAGTGACTATGCCTTTTCAGGAGGAACTCATAGAAGACGACGATGTAAGAAAACCAAAGACGGAGAACAATGCACACAATTCGTACATTGTGATGTGTGATAGTGGCATGACACAGCAGGAAAATGAGCTCCAGAATGCCAGCGATAGGTCAGGGGGATCCAATAATAGCAGTACTGTTAGAGTGGATGTAAGTACTCTATTGTCTGTATGTCTGTCTGTGCATCATAAGGAGAGATATAAGTACCCTATTATATCTGTATATGTCATCTATTATCATCAATGTCTTACAAAATCACAGTATAGTTTTATGTTGTAGAATCACATTTTTTCATGAGGTCAAATTTTCGAGGTTTGAGAAAAAATATTGTTTTGTTGGGATTTGATTTCAAGGTTGGAGAAGCGTTGAGTAATAACGCATATGAAATTTTACATTTCTGGGTTGTCGTGAATTTGAGGGTCTCTCCATGCCTAGAAAACAACGAAATTAACCCCCCACGAAAATTAGTGATTTCACAGCAGTAGATGAAGCACTGTAAGTTGTGAATACATAACTTTCAATGAGTTCTTATTTATTAATTAATCCTTTTATATATACTCATAATTGTAACATGCACGCCCCTTGGCACACATTCAGGCCCAAAAATAGAGTTTAAAGTTGAACATACATGTACATATATACTGAAAATTCAATACTTAGTTTCTTGACCTGTGCGTGGCAATTTTTACAAAACTGTTTGCATAATCTTGACTTTGCTTTGACAGTAAATTGGTGGAATGAATATAATAAGCAGTTGACAATGAGATTTAATGTTATACAGTGTACCGAGTATCTTCGATATTCCTTAATAAATGAATATGATAATGATGAGAGACTGACTTACACATATTATATAACATAATATTATATAACATAAAACTTTTGTTAGTCCAGAGTTCCATGCAGTTGCAGGTGGGTCCAAAGTAGTCATGGCCTGAGAAGCTCATGACACTCAGTTGACCTTCAAGGCCCATGAGCATCAGGCCACCATGTTTTTAGCTAACCTGAGCCGAAGGCTCAAGTGAGCTTTTCTGATCACATTTTGTCTGTCGTCCGTCCGTATGTCTGTGCGTCTGTCTGTCCGTCCGTCTGTCTGTCCGTCTGTAAACTTTTCACATTTTCAACTTCTTCTCAAGAACCACTGGGTCAATTTTGACCAAACTTGGTACAAAACATCCTTGGGTGAAGGGAAATTTAAATTGTTAAAATAAAGGGCCAAGTCCCCTCACAAGGGGAGATAATCAAGAAAAGACAAAAATAGGGTGGGGTCATTAAAAAATCTTCTTCTCAAGAACCACTGGGCCAGTATTTAAAAGCTGAAACTTATGTGGAAGCATTCTAGGGGAAGTGTATGCATTGTTTTAAATTGTTCAAATCATGACCCCTGGGGGAAGGGCGGGGCAACAATGGGGAATCAAAGTTATACATAGAAATATATAGGAAAAATCTTTGAAAATCTTCTTCTCAAGAACAGTGGGCCAGAAAAGCTGAAACTTATGTGGAAGCATTCTGGGGTAGTATAGATTCTAAATTGTTCAATGGGGAATCAAAGTTTTACATAGAAATATATAGGAAAAATCTTTGAAAATCTTCTTCTCAAGAACCACTGGGCCAGAAAAGATGAAACTTATGTGGAAGCATCCTGGTATAATGAAGATTTTAAATTGTTCTAATCATGACCCCTGGGGGAAGGGCGGGGCCACAATGGGGAATCAAAGTTTTACATAGAAATATATAGGAAAAATCTTTGAAAATCTTCTCAAGAACCACTGGGCCAGAAAAGCTGAAACTTATATGGAAGCATCCTGGGATAGTGTAGATTCTAAATTGATCAAATCATGACCCCCGGGGAAAGGGTGGGGCCACAATGGGGAATCAAAGTTTTGCATAGAAATATATAGGAAAAATCTTTGAAAATCTTCTTCTGAAGAACCAGTGGGCCAGAAAAGCTGAAACTTATGTGCACGTGGAAGGATGCTGGGGTAGTTTAGATTTCAAAATGTCTAAATTATGATCAGTGGGGTCGGGTGGGGATGCATTATGTATTACAAGGGGGAAATCTGGTAAAGAACAGAATGGTCAAAGCTTCTCAGGTGAGTGATGTGGCCCATGGGCCTCTTGTTATTTTTGAGAGAAAAATTCTGACCTTCAACTTGTTTATTTACTGATTACTTAATGTACACAAATACCGATGACCAGATAAGTTAAGCCTGCTTACAAGTGGTCACTAGTATCCATTGGTATTAATTGTGCCTATGTAGATAAAGTTTAATGTGGAGTATCTGTATTCAATAGTGGGAAAAAAATCTGAGTAATTGTGTGGGTGAAATTTCTATGCATTATTTTTAAATAATTTTTTTTATGAGAACAATGCCTGCAGTTCTTAAACTTACTCATTTTTATGAAAAATACTCCATATTGGGTACATTATTTAATTGTCAGGAAAGCCCCTACAGTTTTCAAGATACTTTAAAAGCTCAATTAATATTTTGCAGATGAATTGTACATATATAAGATATATGCATGCTGCTTGGCTTTTGATTTTTGATGATTTTTGAAAAAGTATCAGTTATTGAACTTTGTAATTTTATACAAAATGTGTTCCATTTATGAGTACAATATTTTAAATGTTAATTTCTATTGTTTTCAGATAATAAGTTATTTTTTACAGCATGTGAGAAATATGAGTACTGCTCACATAAAAGTTAACTTAATTTGTTTAAATGCTGTCACATAGACAACTTTCTCCTGTGACTTTTCTATTTCTGTTTGGGAAGTTTAATTTATGAAGGAAAGTTGTTAAATTTTATATACTTTTACCTTGTCCATGCATTTAAATATAACTCTCTGGTGAGATTAGTTATTACATTTGGAGCGGCAACTGTGGAACCCCCCTCTCTTTCACTTTCTTCCAGCAGGCCAGATGACTTTGATGGTCACATATCATTGCATACATTTGAAATATATAATTTGCATGTCTTCAGATGTGGGTTGTACAGAAGATTTATTGACCACCCACAGTAATATATATATAATATTTTATGTATATATGTTACAGATAGCTGATATACTGGATGGGGAGGAGAGTCTAAACCTGACGACCACTACACTCAAAAGGTGTAAACAACTGGTGCTCCGACCCTACTGGAGACTTCTCATGTTTGTAAGTATTCTGTTAACTCTCACTGATCATTATCTATATATACATTAATAATTAAAAAGATTGGATTAATCAGTATTTCAAACAAAAATTAAAATGATAAATAATGTACCAACTGTAATTAGATACTCATATAGTATTATAATTAACAGATGGTGGAAACTTTTTGGAATAATTCACATATTGTCTGTTATTTTGGCAGTATGATACAGATAGAGACTGGATTAGCCACCTGGACATATCTTGTTGTCACTCTTGTGTGTTCATCCTAACATATCTATATTTATATACATTTTAGATAGGATGGAGGGGGTTCGGCAGAGAGTCAGTGAACTTTGGCAGTAAGAGATGGAGTGTTTTGAATGTTGTGTACCCTGTGTGTGTCGTGTGTTTGTTATTATATACCTATGTTTATGAAATTGTTGCTTGTCAGTGGAAGCTTGATCTTCACAAGGATACTCAGGTAAGGGGACATAACTCTATTTGATCTCAGAATATATTTCATCATGTCTTAATGTATGTTTTTTAGCCCCCCACCCCACCCCCTTCTTTTATTTTCTATTTTCCTCCATTAAACTCTGTTATTTAATTAAGATCAGTATAAAAGAAACTGTTCAAAACTATTTTTGTTTAAATTCATAAACTTCTTATTGTTTATATTAATGAGAGCTATTCAATCATGTCAGAAGTTTCTGTCCTTCACTATATAGACTAACCTATCAAGTTTCAAACAATGTAGTTGAAATTGTCCAAATATTTATGTATGCATATCCAAATAAATTCATATTCATTAAAATTAGGTTGCTACCACCCCTACCACTACATCTCCAGTATCACCAGAGGCCGATAACAGTACAGCAGCTACAGAGGGGGGTCTCGTAACTCTCTCCCTCCCCTTAATAAAGAATCTCACGAGCATGCGCAAGATTGGCCCAGCGGAGCGCCCCGAGGCATGCAGGCATATCATCACCACCTATGTCATTCCAAATATTCTACACTTTGTGGCATACATTATGGGAATGATTCACTTTAGAATTCAGGAGAATGAGCAGTTATATGCCATTATGGAGAAGGTGAGTGTTCAACACATAATTGGATCATATTGTTGTACTATAAAAGGAATGGTATTTGCAGTGCATGTATTTGTTCTATTTAATAAGTATGTCAATCCACATTATTACAACATTTTAAAAGTCTATATATGCAGGCAATATTTAGAATTATATCAGTTATAAAGAGTTATATAATACTGTATCAGTGCCTTCCTGATCTTGAACCAACATTTATTATATTTTCAGGTTTTCTTACAAGCAACACCTTCCTATAGTCGGTCAGCTTCTCAGCAAAAGATGATCAAAAAACTTAGGTTTGTATTGTCAAACAGATTGAAATACTGCATGTTATATGAGTTGACCAATGTCTTGTTTTCAGTACATGTTGAATCACTTTTTACTTGCTTTATTTGATTTCCAGGATATTAATGGCAATTGGTGCTATTTGGGTGGCAATAACACTAGTCATGCAAGGCCTCTATGAGTATGCCTTTAATTTCCCACAACTTCTCTTCTTTCAAAAAATGGGGTAAGAATTTTATTTTTCTGAACTAATTTTTCAATCTTTATGACAAATGTAAATGAAAGATATTCACCTTTACAAAACCTTGTATTTCTCTTTCCAGAAAGAGTGTTCACTGGGTGCTGTTTAGTTTTGAATTGTTGGGGATTCTGATGTTGAATTCTGTGACTTTAGCAGTGATAGCTAACTATGTGACACACTGTGAAATGGTTCTATTTTATATACGGGGACTAGCCCTGAGATTGCAGGAAAAATCTACCGAGCTCAAGGCAGCAATGAAGGTTAGACTACATCAGTCTTGATTTCTCTCCAAAGTTTGCCTTCATTAACTATTGACATGACAAACATTTATTCCAATTGTCTGCATTAATTGATTTAACAAGTATCATTAAAATACATTTTGAGTTATATTTTTTTCACAAGAAGTATATCTTATGTATGGATTTCTGCAATGCATGCTTCAATATAATTGTTTGTTTTTATTAACAGGACATTCTTTTCATCAAACAAAATGTTGGTTTACTAAATGGTCCTGTTGCAAGAATGACGGCTCTAATATCAGTCATTTTTGCAGAGTTGACAATCATAGGTAAATCAAACTCAGATACTCACTCAAAGTGGTTTCGTAATATTTTTTATATATCATTTTAAAAAAATCAACGCCTACAAGACTGACTGAAATTCCTTACAAAATTGTTAAAGTTGGCTAGATAGATACAGAATCACATATATGATTACAATATTTCAGGTGTCTGTATTCTTGTGTTGAACAAAAATGATTCCATAAAAGTATGGGTCTACAGGAGTTGTTTCCCTTTGGTGTGGCTTTTCATTCTTATTGGTCCATTGTATCAGGTAATGCATAGAAAAATAATGAATAATTTTTCATAATACTTAAGAAATGAAATATCATTTTTAGAGTTTTATTGGGGTATGACATGAAGTCAGTCATGTACATGATTTATATTTATAAAATATATATTGAATATAATCACATTGACAAATTATTTTAGATGGTTGTTTTTGTTAATTGTACAGGCAGCTCGGGTAAATTCAGTATCCATGAGAATGAAGAAGATAGCTTTAGAGATGAGAGTGTTTGGATACAAGAATTCCTCACAGTTAGAGCTGGATTCTTTCATTTTATTTGTCAGCCAAGCAAGGATGAAGGTAAAGCAGAAATGTGATAGATCTTGATTCTCATACAGCCATCTCTATTTCAAGTGATTTTGATTCCTTTTATCTCCTCACAAACCCTTGATCTATCATGCTATCAAAAGTTAGGATTGTTTTTGTCACATGGTTTCATATACATACAGCGTGCTTCACTGACAAAAATAATTTTTTTAAAAATTAAAAACAAGCAGATATTGAGCATATTTACGTGTATTTTTTCAATCTGAAGACAATAGAATTTAGCTGCAGAACATAGCTCGCCAAAAAAAAAAAATATATTGACAGACCGGAGAGCTACAGTGCCACCAATTGAGAAAAGTGTGTATTAATTGTGCACAAAAAAGTGCAATGTTTCTTGATTTATTTCTCTGAGTTAGTTTTGCAGTACACTTGCTTATTGGTTGATTAATATCAATAAGCTCTAAATAAAACATAAAGAGAAAATCCTGACTTTTAATAGCATGAAAGAATAGGGCTTTATGAGGAAAATAGAGATCAGAAGCACAAAGCTAGTTAAAATATAAAGTGATCTTTGTAACATATATTTTTTGGTTTTCCAAATTACTTTTAATGGAATTAAATATGATGATTTTTTTTTACAGGCGAAGCTTTTCCATATACCCATTCTGCCACAGTATCTTATAGCTATTCTGGTCTTAGGGGCTTTTATTCTACTTATCCTATTCCAAACCAGTGTGATTGGCCCTGTCAACTACTGGTTCTAATCAACAACCCACCTATACAAACTGGTCCTGTCAACTACTGGTTCTAATCAACAACCTAGTTATGCAAACTGGTCCTGTCAACTACTGATTCAAATCAACAACCTAGTCAAACAAACTAATCCTGTCAACTACTAGATCTAATCAACAACCCAGTCAACCAATCCGGATCCTGTCAACTGCTGGTTCCAATCAACAACCTAGTCAAACAAACTGATCCTGTCAACTGCTGTTTCTAATCAACAACCTAGTCAAAAAAATTAATCTTGTCAACTACTGGTTGTAATCAATAAAACAGTCAAACAACTGATCCTGTCAACTACTAGTTCTAATCAACAGCCTTGTCAAACAGACTGATCCTGTCAACTACTGGTTCTAATCAACAACCCAGCTATACAAACTGGTCTTGACAACAAATGGTTCATATCAACAACCCAGTCAAAGAAACTGATCCTGTCAACTACCTAGTCAAACAGACTGATCCTGTCAACTACTGGTTCTAATCAACAACCCAGCTATACAAACTGGTCTTGACAACAAATGGTTCATATCAACAACCTAGTCAATTAAACTGATCCTGTCAACTACCTAGTCAAACAGACTGATCCTGATCCTGTCAACTACTGGTTCTAATCAGCAAGCTAGTCAAGCAACAACTGGTTCTATTCAGTGACCGAGATATACAGACTGGTTCAGTTAGCTGCTGGTTCTGATGTCAACAACTGGTTCTAACCAACAACCCACTTAGCATGTGATGCCCTCTATAACTGGTTCTTATGAACAACCCTTGCAGTAGCATAATCTGATCCTGTCAACTACTGATTCTAAAAAATAAACCAGTTATAGAATTTGACATATTAGATTTTTTCTGTTTACTACTGGTCTAATCTTCAATACAAAGTTATAGACTGTCCTCTTTTCCTGGCTCTGACCAATGACTCTTGCAATTACACAAATATGACTGCCATTTGATTGGTCTACACATAAATAAACAGAGCCAACTGGATATACTTACTTACCCTTTTAGTGTAAAATTTATTAATAAGTTATCAAATCCATGTTCACCCAATAATGTTTATAAAAAAGTACGTAAGGGTTGCCCGCAACCCTGTGTCTCGCCTGCTGTCGCTGTGGTTAGTAAGAAATGATTGTCTGATAAACTGAAGCATTTATTGACATTTCAGAAGGAATAACTCAAAAATACAATAATAAAGAAATGGAACAGCTGACTTAATATCTAATCCCTTGGCGATTATATTGGCATTTATATATATATACATATACCCTGTAAATTCACAAATTATTGTGATGTTTTTATTATTGCGAATATTGCAACGTGTTATGAGTCGCAATAATTTGAACTTGCATTTTGAAATCAAATCCACTGTATATGTATCAAGTCATTCATGCAGAAAATGTAGGTGAAGATTACCTAATTATGGTACTGATATTGTTGGTTACCCATGATGTGTAGACTGACAAATTATCATGCCACTATAAGTTATAGTTGCTGAGATATGGACCTCCACCATAAATTTATGCAAAGTCACTCATGCGGAAAAATGTAGGTCAAGATGACCTAATTCTGGTACAGGCGTTTGTGGTTACCCATGATGTATCCACTGACTAACTATCATGCCACTATAAGTTATAGTTGCTGAAATATGAACCTCCATTATCAATTTAACCAAAGTCATTCATGCAGAAAAATGTAGGTCAAAATGACCTAATTCTGGTACTGATGTTGTTGGTTACTTATAACCTGTACAATGACAAATCATCATGCCATTATAAGTTATAGATGCTGAGATATGGACCTCCACCAAAAATTTAACCAAAGTCACTCATGCAGAAAAATGTAGGTCAAGATGACCTAATTCTGGTACTGACGTTTGTGGTTACCCATGATGTATCCACTGACTAATTATCATATCCCTATAACTTATAGTTGCTGGAATATAGGTCTTCACCATAAATTATCATGAAAAAACTAAGTCCAACTTAAGGAAAAAATACGGAAAAATTTGAATTTTTTTTTTCAAAATCATACTTGGGATATAAATTTTTATCCATACTGAATATTGTGTCCAAATTTCAAGAAGACTGAATAAAATTTGAGAAAGTTATTGCAGTTTATAAAACTTTGACATTTGGGTTAACCAAAAGTTGGACGCCGACGACGACGACGACGACGGAATCTATGGTCGCTATGTCTCGCTTCGCGACATTCGTCGCAGGCGAGACAAAAATCATACCATAAATGTTTTTTCGCCGACGTAACATGTACGCTAAAAGCATGTTTTACTGTGTTGTTATATTGAAAAGAAATGTATTGCATTATGCTAAAGCATTTTGACTGTATTGTGAAAGAAAAGGTACTTGAATGCATGTAAGATATTCTTGATACTAGAGTGAGTAATTGTTATTCTTTGTAAGTCAAGTATTCCAGCTTAAAAGTCTTTCTCTTAATACTTTCTTTAACATTCCATTTATTGTTGATTTATTTTATATTGTTATGATATTGTACTTTAGCAATTATCTTTTGAAGGGAAGGAAAAATGATTGTTTGTCGGAATAAATTCCTCATTGTTGTTTGTTTATACGAGCTTTATTTGAGAACACAGTTTGCCAAAGATTGTTCTGTGATATAATATTAAAATATGTTATGTATTGTTCTACTCTACTCATTATTTCCATGAATGTTAGAATTGTTCTTTTACAGGATTTAATATGTACTTTATTATATATTGTAAATTATTTTGCAATGAGATTGTCATTCACAAGGTTTGAGTTCACTGAAACTGTCTCTGCTATTTCTATATATATCATATATACATGTACATGTTACTTACTTAGTTAAAATTGTCTCTTCCTTATATATCAAAGGTAGATATTTAATTGTTCTCCATTTCACATACAATTTCATAAGTTGCTAATGCATGTACGTGTATATTTTCAAGGGTTACTTTGGAGGACAAAGCCCTCACAATTTTCATATTTTCTATACTAGGATTATATTGAAGCAAGTAATAGAATTTTCACAATGGCAAGAAGTTGTATTATTGTATTGTTATTGTGTTGATCAAATGTTGAAGGTAAACATATTACACTCGTGCAATAATGAATGTTGTTATCTAATTAAAATAAAGTTACTTTCTTTTATGGAAAGAATGAAGAATTATGATGGAGATTAAAAGTGTTATAGAACTATGTAACTGGATATTTTTATTGGGATTCTATAGCTTTTGCAGTATTGCTGTGTTTAACAGCTGGTATCTCTCAATTTATGAAAACATGCCTTGTGAATCAGGAGACTAGTTCCTGGATAAATTGTGCTAGTGAGTACATTTCCTTATTGAATGTTAAAGGACAGGATAGGGTAAAGCCCGTTTTTGGCCCATGATTTTTTTGTGTCTTTCAGATTGATGCAACAGTTTATACATAAAAACCTGTTATCATCCCTGACACAAAATGAGTTGGTTTTAAGTTTTGGAATACACAGAGGTCAGAAAATAGGTCAATTTTCGAATTTTATCATTTTTATGCAATTTTTCATCAATTTTACAGCGCATTCTGTTAATGAAAACTTAGAGCACAAGCTTGCCTATCTACCAAATTTATATATTTTATCAACTAGTATCAGATGGTTTATGTGTAAAAATCTCAGATAGGCAATCTTGTGCTCTATGTTTTCCGAAGAGAAAAGTATCTGAAATATGATAAAATTCTACCAGAATGGAGGAAATTCGATAAATGTCCTACTTCTGCACCCTCTAGTGACTTCCATGTAAGCTTTAATCTTAATTAGTGCTGGTTTTAAAGCAAGCATCATTTTAAGTTCTTAACTACAAACTATCACATTTTTACCAGTCTTTACATCAAATAAGGGGCCAGATTTGGCCGTTATCCTACCTTGCCCTTTGATGAATTTCGTAGGTTCTGTCCTCACATTTTTGGTCAATATAAGACTCATTTCTTGGGGAGGGGTGCTGTTTATCTCGGGCATACCCAAGGAAACGTTTGGTTCCTTCAATAATAAGGGTTTTAACAAAGTAACGTAGAGCATGTTCTTATCTATCAAATCAACTGAGAGACATAAAACAAATATGCATGTGATAGGGATGTAAGGGAAGTCGACGATTGAAAAGTTAAAGTCATAACTTTTGTCATAAAGCTTTGTTGTTAGGTAACAATAACCGCCTTTTTCTTCAGTACAGCCAACAGACCCCCTGCCTTCTAGCCCCCCCCCCCCCCCCCCCCCCTTCCCGTTACGAAATTTCTGGATCCGCCACTGAATAAGATTTAGGAAATAGGAGAACAAGGGGTACAGGAAGCCAACAGTTTCAGATATATTAAAAGATACCTTATTCAAATTGTAAATTTAGAGTAAAATTCACATTATTGAAATCATGGTAAATAAAGCTTTTTCTGAGGAAAAATTTTCTCGGAAAAAATTATTCTTTCTTTATAAAATAATGTGAGATTCGAACCCTAGAAAAGAAGATCCAGAGTATCATTTTCCTTGAAGACAAGTCCTGAACAATAGTGGCATTTGAATCATGTTTTTCATATGACTCTTGACTAAATGGATATTTTTTCTCCGAAAGATGCGAATATTGTGTCACAAAACTATATAATAAAAGTGTATTTTTGAGCAAAGACCTACATCAAAGTCTACGTTTTAAGGTAAAATGGGTCTTTGTTCCATGCTACTCAAAATGTGTATTTTGCACATATTTCAAAACAAAAAATAATTTAAAAAAATGGAGACCCATTTTTATGTAAATAAAAAAAACTTGACTACGAGAAGATGATCATTTTCCTCTTTAGATTGAGTATGCTATTTCACAGACAAACAATATCAATCTTTGTGAGATTTTTGTATACGAGACATTGTTGATGAGAAAACTTTGAAGTTTGTTAGGTTTTTGCATATTGACGAGATTCAGAATGCTTCGGAGTTGGTTGATTTTTATCCTTTTACGACGCACTATAAGCATTTTATTCAGAATGTTCGCCTATCTTTACAGTCTTTATTGTAAACATGATTTTACCTTTGCTTGAAATATACCATCGTCGGAAACCCACGGGTGATCTCGTCTATACTTATCAAGTATAAGTAAAGACGAGATCACCCGTGGGTTTCCGACGATGGAAATATACGTACATAATTAGGATAAGAAACCCCGTTTTTAATTAATATTATTTTTTATTGAAAATATTCGTCAAAACTCTACAAAAATATATTCAACATTGAAAGAATATATTTTTATAGTAGATAAATTTTTAAAAGAAAATTTTAATTGTCCATATCTACAAAATATTCAACAATGAAAACTATAATTATATAGCAAATAATGAAATTGAAACTTTTTAAAAAAATATTCTTCAAAAATAAAAACCCATAATCATACGACATAAAACTATTGAGTAATCAAAAACAAATATATTATTTGACATACATGTAGTTTTTTAAAAAGGTTTAAGATCAGACACTTGTTTAATTTTTATCCGCTGGTCTGGATCAGCATCTTGCACCAAAAACCACCAAGCATAGCAAACAACAGGAACAGTTCATCTGAAAAATAAACAGCGAATTTACTGCTTTGTCATTCTCCATATGATAATCCACCATCAACGCCCCCGAATAGTACACCTATTATTGTTCTTCGAAAATAAATAAGCTATAGAGCAACGAAAGAAAATAAAACAAAATTGAAAGATTATAACTTGCACCATCTTCTAACAAACTCTGTGGATATTACTTAGTATTAATAATTCTTTTTCGAACTTTTGCCCAATAAGATAATTGTCAAATACTAAAATAATTATATTTACTTATCAAATAGCGTGATCCGTTGGATGTATTTCCATTTTGACTGTAGTCCCCACACTTTTGGAACCCAACGGGAGCTTGAGGATACCTGGAAGGCGACTCGAGTAGAACCATTCCCATGCCATTGGTGTTATGAAGATCAATGTGACAGTGGAAGAACCAGGCGCCAGGGTTATTCGCTTTAAATCGAATAACCACGTATCCACCTGTCGGAATTATTATTGTGTCCTTCTCTGGGGGATAGCTGGTTTTAGAGCCAGGGATGTAAGTGTTCCATGTTTCATTTCGCCATTTAGCAGAATTGCAATAATTAGTTGTGTTAGATCTCTGGCATTCGATGTCATCTGTTTCAGATATAAATTTGGCCGTATTTTCATTGTATTCACCAAATCCCATTTTATAGACAAAGAAATAATGACCATGAAGATGAACTGGATGGGACCATCCGCGCCCACTGCCAATGTTTGTAAGAACAAATTGATACACTTTTCCAAATTCAAGATTCACGGAATATGTGCAGGTACAAATAGAATCAAATCGACAAAGTGAGGTATCGCAGACAGTTCGCAGATTATTACTTGGCTCTGTGAGTATTGGTGCCAGAGGAGATACAAACGCATGTCCATTAACTGATCCGGGGGTATTTCCCGGCTCGCCAGGAAAAGCAAAGTTGAAAAACAATGTCTCCGAAACAGTAGCTACTTCGTCATTAGTCGAGTTTGGTTCATTACTGTTTGCTTCATCATAACTGAGGCATTGTCTGTTTTGATTGGATGGGTAGTATTTGTAGGGACAATTGAATGTTATACACGGTTTCTTACTGGTGCAGTAACCTTGATTACTTGCTCTTGACGTAATATAGGAAGTTGATGAGCCTTCGTATTGAATAATTGCTTCTGCAGCATGATATTCAAAAATGTTGTTAGGTATTACTTCGATGCTCTCTGCCACCAAAAGATATGACTTTACGGCCTTTCCTGTGTACAGGAAAAAATCATATCTCTCCCCAGGATGGATAATGAATGATTCAACAACGATTGGTTGACTTTCTTTCCCAGTTCCTCTGACAATTTCAAAACCGTCAGATGCTACCACTGTAAGTTCTGGATGATCTTGAACAAAAACACGGAAAGGATAAAGGGTAGCAGCACTTATTACACGGAATCTGTACATTTGCAGTGGATTGACCTTGAAGACTTCAAGCGGGGCACCATTATGTTGCAGGCTATTGCTATTTTGTGCTCGTGACCAGAACCTCCCTTTACCATTAATGAGTCCAGAATGAAAATGAAATCGACTGAAATTAGCACCGTCTACCGACTGAGTGGGACTTACTAATGTTGGTGTCATACCATTAAACTTGTACACGCCATTAAGCATGCGCTGGTATAATGTTTCCGGTTCATCATTGTGGTTCCAGTCCTGTATGAGAACCGTGAAGCCAATTTGTGGTTGAGGATAAAATTTGTGTCTGGGATAAATAATCAATGCTCCATATAATCCCATACTACGCTGATCTCCAATATGAGCATGGTAGAAACTGCTCCCGTGAGGACTGGCTTTGAAATTATAAGTAAACGTTTGTCCTGGCAAAATTGGACATTGACTTATGAAGGCAACGCCATCTGAATGCGGAGTGCCTCGTTGATGCATACCATGCCAGTGTACAGTTGTTGTATCAGTGTGCATTAGATTTCTTACATGAATTATCATTGTTTGACCTTCAAACGCTTCTATGGTTGGTCCTGGAAACCTATCGTTAATAGCGATGACAAGCCGGGACTGATAGCCATCTGTCGTAATAACGTCATCAACGACTGAATCAGGGAGATACGAACTTTCATTATATCTCCGAATCCTGCCACTGGAAGGCACAACCATTATAGGATTTTTCAATGTCATCATAGTCAGTCGGTGTTCTATTGTTAGGGAACACTCGCAAACAGGATCAGTTTCTCTGCAGGTGGTTACCTTGCATGTTGGACCGTCTTCTGGACTTTTCCAGTATCCGTGAACCACGATATCAAGGAATAAGCACAAAGAAACACTCAGAAGGGAATGATGATGATTCATGGCTTACTCCTTGGATTGCTCGGAAAATTCCGTGTAGAAGGTAAATTTGATCTATGAATAAATAAATTATTATTATTATTAAAGATCTTGCATATAGACTTTCTCAATTTGTTATTTTATGACTTCTCTCATTAAGAACTGTAAATAAAACAAACGATAGAGGTTCGTCCAAGAAAAATTTAATTCGGATTAGGAGAAATCAATCTCTTTGGGAAGTCTTTTCATAAATGTTACTCTGTCAAACACTGGTATTCGCCCCTGGGAAGAATAAAACTTCACTTTCAATTATTTTAAGATCTGAGAAAGTATGATGCCTCGCAGCAATAAGCTATCCCCTGATGAAAGATCACTCTCAGAAACACCTTTATTAGAATTAAAGATTATAAAGTGGTGTGTTTTATTATTTCTATTCATAGCATTCAATTTCCAAAAACATTTTCAAAATGAAAATTATGATAGCAATATCACTGGACAAATTTGAACACCAAGATCTGAGTGTCTTCTAAGATGTCTATGGAAATGTGAAATCATTTATGTTGAAGAATCCACTCCGTTGGAGATTTTTAAATATAAAATAATACATTAATACATAAAATATTTTAATTCTTAAATATAGGAAAAGTGCGTATTCTGATAGATTTCTTCTGTTTTAATATAAAATAGCATTTTTTAACATAAATAATAAGTACATAAAATATTTGAAGATAACAAACTGTATTCGAGCTCAAAAGTCCATCAAACAATTCAAATCGGGGAAAAGCAAATTCGGATCTCGAAAACATCTGACGTGGGATCAGGTGATATGAGGGAGTGAGCATCCCCTGCCGACCAGTCACATCCGCTGTATGCTCCTTGTTATGAACGGCAAATAACTAAAAAAAAAATCCGTCGACAATTCTGTGTAATGAATGGCCTAAGAATTAATAAATGAAAACTTCAGTCAGCATTTGACCTAATGATAGATATTATTTGCTAACAAGGTCAGGGGGCTTTGAACGCGACTTGTGATATTCTTGTTTTTCAGTAGCATACTTTGTTTTAGAAATTTTTCATACGTAGAGCATGTATTCGCGTATCGAATCAACCCCATATGTGTGTAATGAAGGTATATTGATGCATAACAAAGGGAAGTTGACGATTGAAAAGTTAAAGTCATCAGCTCAACACAAATCCTGGTTGTTAGATTACCATTAAAGTCTTTTGATAGATAATTATCCAAATATGAAACAGATGTGTCAGACTCTCTGGTATCTTTTATTTCAAGCTCATTGGGATATTTCATATCTACATAAGAACAGAAATAACCAATGAAATAACTGACTGGAATACATATGAATACGATAGGACCATCTTTAAGAAAAAAGCAACAGAAAATGATTTCTTTTTTTCACGTAAAAGATTTTGAACAAATCCTGCTTTATATTAATACAAATAAGGTCTGATACATGTAATAACGGTGCGCAATTGGCACAAATTGGAATTTCAACAGAATATTGGAAGACCTTTTCTCCAAAAAATAACCACATATAGATACTAGTAATATCAGTCAGAAACTGAAGCATCTGTACATATGTTTGAAATATATAATGGAGTGAGGCATCAGCATTTGCTTAATCAATCTATAATTCAGACTTTTCCATTCTATTTATGAGTCAGAATTTTGGAAAAAAAATTACTATCCCACAATTAGCCCTATTTATTCCTTAAACAATGCGGATTCAGCCTTCCAACGGCAAGTGGGTAACATCTCAGTAAGAGTGAAACATTCTCGAAGTGACGTAGAACAAACAACAGCCAAAAGAACGAATCGAGAACAGGCCATTCAAATATGAACCACCGGACATACTAAAGCTAAAAAATAAAAAAAAAGACATCCACCATAAGACCTATGTATCCATCTAGAAGAAGATACATAGTGTAGACAAATTTTGTACAAAGAAAAAAGTCTTAACTATTTGTATGAAAAAAAGTCAGCCAAAATTTGTGACTCCGCAAGGGGTTGATTCAGACGGGTTCTATCCCATACCGAAAGGAGCAGACTGTCCCTCAGCATGTCCTCCAACGATAAGGTGGCGTCTCAATATTCTTGGGTGAGAAATTGCGAAGAGAAATAAACAAAAAAAAACCCAGACAAAAATAAGTCAATAGAAGCTGGTAAAATGATGGTAGGCCTAACCAAAGAATTTTGTTGTCTCAAAGAAATCACGTAGCACCATTCGTTCAAAAATTACAGCAAAGATTAAAGCTTCTGCAGACCAACATATGAGCAAACCAAAAATTATATGCCCCTGAATCTCCGAGAACCTGGGCATATAAAAACTAGAATTTTTTAATCTACATTTTGATTTACGTCTGTTTTCAGATTATACGGTTTTAGAGCCTTGTCATGAAAACCTCAGACTACATATAGATATTGTCAATCAGAAAATCCACATCTTCTACTGTCTACTTCAGATTACCTGGCGCAAAGAAAGAAAATCTCAAAAAGAAATTTTAAATGACTTTTCATAAGATGATTGACTGTGAAGATGAACAATAATACTTTTGCTCAAAAGTTCAATTAAACAATATGTTTTGTTAGCGCTTAAAAAACCATCAGAGGGGAATCAGGTGCCGGTGTAACGACGAAAAGTGACCCCCGTAGAATATTGACCTGGGGGTCATTTTTCTACGTAGAAAAATGACCCCCGGTCAATATTCTACGACAAGTAGGGTCATTTTTCGACTGTAGAAAAACATTCCAGACCAGTAATTCTACGACTTCACACACGTTGAAAAATGACCCCCATAGAAATTTGACCCCCTACTTTTTTTTATACTATAATACCTAATATCTGTGTCTCCTGCTATTTTTTCCTACTTTCAAATGCAATTAGGGGGAATTTTTTATGAACTAAAATCCTTTCCAACATATATTTGATTGCATATCTTAATAGTACATGTAGCATCACAATCAATGTATCTGGTATGGATTTATTTTGGCTAGCAGAATCCCAATGAAAAATTTCAAGAGTACTGTGCAGCAATATATTCAAGAAGTAGTGTGAATCAGATGTGGATACTCAAAAATTTGAAATCTTAAGATTTTTCCAAAATCAACAGCTGAAAAACTTAAGACTTTTCAAGTTTACACACAACCATTCCCCACCACAAATTAAAGTTCAAGCTTATTGATATCATTAACAGCTGCTTTTTCAATAAAAATTAAACTCGAAAGTTTACTTACCTGGTCATTAGTCATTTGCAAAATTATTTCGTTAAAACACATTCTGATTGCACACACTAGTACTCTGAAGTTGACATCAAAGATGCTTGATTTTCTGATTGACAATATCTACGTGGTTTTTTTTTTGAGACCAGGTCTTCCAACAATCCATTGGAATTCCCATGGGTGCCAATTGCGCTCCGTATCAGCAGACCTAATTTTGTATTCATTTGTAGCAAAAATTGTGCAAAATCTTATGCATGGAAAGAAGAAAAGACTTGCTGTGGCCTTCAAATCGACATTTAGATATATCGACGAAGTATTGTCAATAAACGGTGGTTATTTACATTCCTACGTCGATAAGATATATATCCTGGTATGCTAGAGATAAAATATACCAAAGATTCTGTTTCATACTTTGATATTTTACTCGAAAAAAGACGTTAATTGTAATCTAACAACCAAGCTATATGATAAACGTGATGACTTGAACTTTTCTATCGTCAACTTCCCTTACATATGCAGCAATATACCTTCATCACCTGCATACTGAGTATTTATATCTCAGTTTTTTCGATACACAAGAACATGCTCTACGTATTAACAATTTCTAAAACGAGGTAAATTATTGACAAGCAAGTTGATGAAACAAGAATATCAGTAGTCTCGTTTAAAGTCATTACTTAGTAAGATCTATGGCTGATACAATGATCTTGTCAGCAAATATAATTTATCATTGAGTCAAATGCTGACTGACGTTTTTCATACTAATTATTAGTCCATTATTTATACACTGAATTGACGACGGATTTTTTTTTATTATTTCCCGATCATGACAAGGAGCACAATGCGGGTGTGAACGGTCAGTAGGGGAGGCTCACTCCTCCATTGTACCTGATCCTACCTCTGATGTTTCGGAGGTCCGTGTTTGCTCTGCTCCTCTTTTGTATTGTGTAATGGACTTTGATATTGAATACTGGTCGTGATCTCCATATCCCTTCTTTATTGAGAAGCATACATTTATGATTATATTTTTTGTGATTTTTTTTTTTATCATTCAAAGGTTTTGTTCCGAAAAGGGCATAATATGTTTCTGATAACCATAAACTTTTTACAAATCAAAAAGCATTGCATAGAAGCCAGAAAAGAAACGTAATTTAACGATATAAATTCAACTCCCTTAGCTTTTACCTTTCAACTTAGATATACATCTGTATGCGTTCTGCTTTAAAATACATACTTTTTAACTACCTTATATAAGGCACTATACTTTTTCCTGTATAAAGGGAAAACGGGAAATACCATACATATGGCACGCCAAATTCACAAAAATGAGCAAAACATAGTTTCACAGTCGATAAACTAAGTTTTTCGGTTGTAAACTATAGTTTACGGACTGTAAACTATAGTTAACAACGTTAATCTATATTTTACGTTTGTAAACCATAGTTAACGCGATAATCTATGTTTCACAACCGTAAACTATACTTAACACCAAAAACAATCATTTGCGATCGCAAAACATAGATTATCTGATAAATACAGTTTCACGATTTGTAAACTTTACTATGGTTTACAACTCTTAACTATAGTTAACGATTGTAAATTTTAGTATACAGACGTGTATCTATGTTTATCAACAAAATCTATAGTTAACGTTTTATAACAGACAGATAGATTTAGATTAGCATTCGTAAACTATATTTAACAACCGTTAAATATAGTTTTACAGATGAAAAATATACTTAACGAATCGTTACTTATAGTTTACGGTTTGTAAAACATAGTTTACAGTCGAAAAACCTAGTTTATCAATTGTGAAACTAGGTTTAGCTCATTTTTGTGA